ATTTTCTCGAAAATCTTATACTAATTGCTGATTAAACCTTCATTTTGGTTTTGTTTGTTGTGCATGTGGTGCAGGTACATGGGGCAAAGGATTCTGCATGACAGAATAGTCCACGGATCAAAAAGAAAAATTGATCTGGTCACTTATGTTTCCCAAACATAAAGTCAATTAGTGATTATTGGAATATATGTCTCTGAGACATTTGATTAATATTGTAGATATTGGAACCTAAAATTTTAAAATCTATATAGTTGATGTCAATTGATCAGATCAGGTATGGTTCAAGCAAAACTGTCTGCACTCTGCTTGACTAGATTAGCCTTCCTGTGATTAAATATACGCCTTACTATTAAAACTGAATTAGCTTTAAAAAATGATTAGTTAGTTTTTGTTTATTTGTTAAGAGCGTAATTAGGAAGGAAATTAGTAAGGAGGTGAGGATGACACAACACAACTGCAAGCACTTTTAGAACTTTTTATCACATGGGCTGCTCTAACTTCATCATGAAGTCCTTCAGCTAGGGTTTATTTTATTTTCTTACTTGTGATGATTTTTTTTGGGTACATCGTTCGATAAAGAAATATTTGAAAAATGATTACCAAATAAACGAATGAGGCATTGCGCACAATCATGGCATGGTTAGAAAGAGATACCCACAGAAGGACTGAAACTGCAGCAGATTAACTAAAGTCAAACTAATTTGGTGATCCTATAATGATGGCTCACTATAAAAGTGAGACTCTTTTGTATTCAAGACAGAAATTACTAATATATACAGAAGTAGGCAAAAAAGAAAAGAAGACGAATAAGATTAGGATATGCTGTTAGCCCTTCTTTCTCAGCCCCTTATAAATAATATGGGGAGGCATCTCCTTCCATCTACTTTTTTCCTGCTTTCAACTTCATTGCACATTTACATGGACACAGAGAGTGGAAGAATCTCATATGCTAGGAAAGAGCGCTTTCAAGGCTCGGATAAGGAGGAGAGAAATCTAGCAGCAGAATGAGCCCTGGCCCCAACAAAATCCCTTAAAAGCAGCCCCTGATGGATGTTCACAGCATAATCCTCAGGATATGCCATTTGTGCTTACTGGTTTATTCCATCTCTTGGAGTCTTTGAGCCCTTATATAACTTGTGCAGGGCCATCATTGAAACACAAGCAGAAGCAGCTATACATACTAGAAGAAGTATACTTGTCAAATAAGCAAAGCAGTCATAGGGCTCCTCTTTCTTGGCAGGCACTGGTGACTGATGCAGCTACAAATGTACAATCACTTTCATTGACCTGCCAAAGAAGAGTTGCCCTACGATTGCTTTGGCTTAATGAAATTTGCAGCCTATCTGATCATGCAGTAAAGCCCTGTCATGCAAAACATATACGGCAAGGTATAATATTAGGCTAGGCTAGCCAAGGATATACGTAGGTTTTGTCATATTTGAAAATAATGGTAGAGGTAGAGCTATAATACTGAAGTTACTTTTGTTGTACAACGTTGTTCTACTTTTGTGACAGCAAGCAGGCAAAGTGACTTTGCACAAAGCTGGGAAATAGTGTGATTTATATAGGTGGAAATGGAAGGTGGAAGCCATGCATATATACAAGCAATTACTAATTTCCCTGCTCCCTTTTGTCATTTGTGGCCATATATAGCTTTGTCTGGGATAGCTTTGTCTGGGAGGATGTTCTTGCTATGTGCTTATACAGTGGATATCAAAATAAAACAATTCTGTATAAAAGACCAGTAAGTTTCTTTTCTACAGCTATTTTTGACACCGAAGGGAAGTCTAGCCGACCCATGAAGCCACTTTTTCAAAGTAATGGACTTCTTTTTGGATAAAGCAAAGAAGCAAAATATAATTTGGTTTGGGATACATAATTGTGATCGTAGTCGGATATCCCCCATTCCTGGTCTGAAAAGTGTTTTTAGGGCTCTTGTTTCTCGAAATGTTCTTCTCCAAGACTTTACGGCCCATCTTTGAAAATCTTTTTCCTTCATCATTTATTCATCAGAAATACTATAATAAGGAGTTGTGGAGAGGGTTCCATAATCCAATAAGAAGGAGAAAATATTGAACTTAAAACTTTTTTTAGTAATTGAATTTCATTGATAGGGTCCTTTTAAAACCACTTATGGGGTTGTTTTATGGGCCTTGACCATGCCAAGATCAAAGGAATAAAGATGATGGGTTTTCATAACATCCCAAGTCCATAAATTTCAAGTGGGTTTTCTTTTCACTACAAAACTTTAAGTTACAAATGGGCTTGGATTGCAAAGATTCATGAATGAATTTTAATTTTGAAGGCAGGCAGAGGTATCAAGAACCCAAACTCGTGTTAGAAATTAGAACTAGATAGATAGCCTAGTCAAGAGGCAACCACATCTCAACCGCAGCCTGAACCTGATACAGACTGATATAATTCCAACAGCGTGATTTGTGAACGTTATTTCATTTATTTAAGAAATTGTGAATATTGACTGGTAAACCATAATTAAGGTTTATATTCTTCATCAGTTTGAAACTTTGAACTAAGATTTTCTTTATATATTATACATAATATTTTTATATATAAATGTTGTTTAATTTTATATGTATAGAAGCAATGAGATATTAGACTATACTGATATGCCTTGTGGCCCAACCCAATGGTAAGCAAAGCAGCTATACGTTTCATTCATGTCGTTTGCTTTGCAATTAATTTCACACGCAATCACTCTCTTCTTAGTTGGTAGACAACTTGTCCCTGTCTCCATAAATCACGAGGCAGCCCAGAAAATTACAAGCCTATTAGTTTGAATGTGATGTGAGAAAGTGAGACAATGCCCCCCAATAATAATAAGTTGCCTCTTTCCTCAAGTTGAAGACTTGTACCACCACACATGTTGCTGCTGCCATCAAATTCATAAATTTTTTACTTGCCAAACATGTCATTTGGAATATCAGAGGGGGTAAATCGGTGCTAGTTTATCATAGGAGACTTTTCAAGTTGAGGCAGTTTCAACTGGAAATTACCAAAGAATTCATGACAATTTTTTTTTGGTACTAAAAAAGATCGACGCCTGAGATAATTGTCAAAATTTTATGTACGTAACAAATTTTAGGTGAAAATATCACCGGCTGATGCAGAAATACTGTATCACTCAATAATTTATCGAGGAGTGATTTAATTAGTTGATCAATTCAATGCTTCTCTTAATCCTCAAACTCCAAGCACATATTTCCTGCTTTCAAATTGTGATCTTTGAACTTGGAGAGCCCAAAGTCAATTATATGACATATTTTCTTTTGGGTACATTACCGTCAGTACTCAATATGCGAGATATAACAAAATCTTTGTACGACTCTTTCCCATCAAAGATTTTAGATGAGGTGTACACTGTAAACCGTGTGATCAGCCTCTTGTTTCCTTGTGTCTTTATCTTTATCTTTATCTTTTTCTCTTTTGCTTTTTTCCTCAATCCAAAACATCAAGGACACTCCAACTACTGGCTTTCTCTTTTTCCAGTTTGAGCTTTTCTCCCTCACTGTGTAAAGAATGGCTCCTACGCTCCACGTTTTTTTGGCACATGATTTAAATTTAAAAACCCAACAATTATTCAGCAGTTTATCTTAAATATTCTAAATTTTAAATAAGTTTCTATAAAAAAGAAAAGAAAAAAGAAGAAGTTAGCTGTAGATGTCGTTTCTTCTAGAACGACTTGCGGATGTAAGTTGTAACATTAGAGTGTTCAAGTAATGTTCACTGTCATCGTGCCTCTAATCATTTTTGGCTCGAAAATGATGTTTTATAATTATTCTTTATGTTTCCATTCAATCTGGACCTCTCGTTAAAAATTGTAGATAAAGATTAAACCATTGTTTGGTTGAGAACTTGAGACATGATGCTGATTGCCGACACCGATATTATTAACCCAATGTCAAATTTTCGTTTTATCGAATCTTCTAAGTTACATTTACATCATCTTCGTCACACTATATTAAGTTATTGGTACTGCTTGGACGTTAAAACCCTGCATATGCAAATGACCCATTATTCATTCAAACAAGGTTATGGATTCGAGTTTTAGCATTCGTGTGTTGTATGTGTAAGTTTAGGTATTATCATCTTTCTCCATTAAAAAGGTCCTAAAAAAATAAAACCCGACACATAATAAGCTGTTATATTCAAAATTTAGCCTAAATTATACTGGAGAGCTAATGTATTTCTGGCCTCAGATTTACACAATAATAAGAAGGCAAAGACAGTTGGTATATTTAATAAAATAAAAAAAAGATAAAACTGGCTAGTACAATTGGCATGCATAATTTCGATAGCGGCACAATCAATGGAGCTTTAAAGAAAACTTCAAACTTAAGCCCGAAGCAAGTTGGCAAGCACCAATAATGCCGGCCACAATGCAAAAAGCCCTTTTTGTCGTCTATTTTGCCTGTTGCTTTCTCTTCCACCCTCTGCTTTTCACAAAAGACATACACCAATTAGAATTTTAGTGCTTCTGGTTTTTACATTAAAGTTAAACAAACACTGCATAATTCTAATTTAAATTGGAGAGCTCCTTATAATCAATCCATTTTACATAATTACTTACCAGTGTCCATGCTCCGCATGCACATGTTCATCATGACCTTTCCCTCTCAGACTCTCTGGAATTAGTGCTTCAATTCACACCTTGTTGACTGAGTGACTGGTCCAGAACAATTGACCCCCCATGACAAGTTTGCAATGTAAACCATGCTGCTGCTTAATGCGTGGTTAAGCATGCAATTAATGATAGAAAATGTCAACTAAGCCACCTTGTTAAGCATCGTATTTTAGACTGATCTGACCTGTTCAAACTAATCATACCATGTCCATAAACCAACCCGGCCCAAAACATACATGTAAGACAAAGTAAAACTTCTGCATTTTAGTGTTTCTAACAAGAAGAACAGTCGTTATAAATATAAACCATTGCTTCATGATTGAACCAAAACCACAAAAATACCACAGAAAACAGAGAGATGCAGTCACCTTGTATGAAAGAGGTCTCAGAAGTCTGCCTTAGCAGCTGCTGCCCCGCCCCCTTGTTTAAGTTGTCGGCGCATCACGATGCCATGTCCAAGTCCAGAAGCACTTCTGCAGCTTGCCGCCGTGACTTTGCAGCCACGACTTCAGCATCCATCTTCCCAAACACCCAGTTCACCAACCATGAGTCTCTCCCGTCATTGCAAGAGTCTTTCTCTGACTTCACCAAAGTTTATCCTCGATACCAGGAGACTGCCCAAGTGGACCAAATAAGAGCTCAAGAATACTACCATCTCTCACAGTCAAACCACACCTGCCTTGACTATATTGGCATCGGCCTCTTCTCCTCTTCCCAGCTGCACAAACAGGAATCTTCTTCCCAACTGAATTCAGATTTCCCCTTCTTTAGTATATCCTACAAGACGGGGAATCTGAAGACACAGCTACTTCATGGCGGCCAAGAATCAGAACTGGAATCTGTAATGAGAAATAGAATCATGGATTTTCTTAATATTTCTGCAAATGATTACAGCATGGTTTTCACCGCCAACAGAACATCAGCTTTTAAACTTGTGGCAGAATCTTACCCGTACAAGACTAGTAGAAAGCTTCTGACAGTTTATGACTACGAGAGTGAGGCAGTAGAAGGATTGATTAATAGCTCAGAAAAGAGAGGAGCCAAAGTCATGTCAGCAGAGTTTTCATGGCCGAGGCTGAGGATTCAGTCGGCGAAGTTGAGGAAGATGGTTGTGAGTAAGAGGAAGAAGAAAAAGAAAAGGGGTCTTTTTGTCTTTCCAGTGCATTCTAGGATAACTGGTTCCAGATATCCTTATGTATGGATGACCATGGCTCAGGAAAATGGGTGGCATGTCTTAGTTGATGCTTGTGCATTGGGGCCAAAGGATATGGATAGCTTTGGCCTCTCTCTCTTTCAACCAGATTTCCTCATTTCTTCTTTCTACAAGATTTATGGGGAAAACCCATCTGGCTTTGCATGTCTATTTGTCAAGAAATCTGCTATTTCATATCTAGAATCTTCTACATGTACAGGAATTGTAAATCTTGTCCCAGCAAAGAAATTGCTTCAGATAGCAGGGGATTCTTCTGGTACCGACACAGAGCTTGAACAGATATCTAGACTTGGCTTGCAACTAGATGCATTGGGCACAGCAAGTTCTTTCTCTGGTCTGATATCCAATCACACAACACAGACAAGAAGATTGGAAAGAGAAGGCTATGAGAGTGCAGAAGAAGGTGCAAACCGGACAGGACTAGAAACTTCAGAGATATGGGAATCAGAGACACATGCCAATTTAATAAAGGATAAAAATTCCAGAAGCAGCAGAAATGGGGACAGCCTAGAGGTTGTATGCAGGGGCTTGGATCAAGTGGATTCACTGGGGCTAATGATGATCACTAACAGGGCAAGGTACCTCATCAATTGGCTGGTGAGCTCACTGAGAAAGCTTAAACATCCTAACACAGAGGGATTTCCTTTGGTCAAAATATACGGGCCAAAGATCAAATTTGACAGGGGACCAGCTCTGGCATTCAATGTATTTGATTGGAAAGGAGAAAAGGTTGAGCCTGTCCTTGTACAGAAACTTGCTGATAGAAACAATATTTCTCTTAGCTATGGATTCTTACATCATATCTGGTTCTCGGATAAGTATGCAGAAGAGAAAGGGAGAATCCTAGAGAGAAGAGAAGGTGGAGTGAAAGGAATGGATGCAAACAAGTTGAAGGCCAAATCTGATCTAGGAATATCCGTGGTTACAGCTGCACTTGGATTCCTAGCCAGTTTTGAAGACACATACAGGCTTTGGGCTTTTGTTGCACAGTTCCTGGATGCAGACTTTGTGGAGAAGGAGAGATGGAGATATACAGCTCTTAATCAGAAAACCATTGAAGTTTAAGTAACATATATTTATATATTTGTTTATTATCTAATTGATCCCCAAGTATAGAAAATTAAGCATCCTCGCAGACAAGATTCTGTACATATGGAATTTAAACTGTAAGAGGAAAACAAAAATGTAGTACAGTTTCATTCATTCTTTCAGAGATAAGAGTTTCAGAACCTTTCAAAAGATTTCATTAGCTTGTTATGCAATCTTATATTTGGTTACCTAAATCTTATCCTTGCACAAATTTAAGTTTATTACAGCTATGAGTTGGAATGAATTAAATTATCCTCATAGGCTCAGATAGAGGGGAAATCCAAATCTACTTCTTGTAAAAATGATGCATGGGTCTTTAAATTAGGATACTAATAATGTCAGGAGTGTTACTTGTCCTGATTTAAAGAGTAATATGCAAAAAAGTATGAAATGACCTCAACTGAGAAAAACATGAAGGTATATACTTATCTTATCAGGAATGGATGGGGAATATCCCTTCAAGATAGACTTGATTAGCAAGGATGTTCAATAGTACATGGATATCCTCATGTTGAGGGTGGCTAGTATCCCCAACTAAAAATTCATGCGCCTTACCATCCACCTCTATAACACTAGACCCGGGGGACTTTTGTATACCTTTCTTCTTCATCAACCTCCTTACCCTTGTTACATCAGCCCATCTTTCATTAGTGGCATATATGTTTGATAGGAGCACATAAACCCCACTATCGTGCAACTTGAGTTGCAGGAGACGGTCTAGTATTTCTTGAGAGAGCTCAACATCACCTTTGGCCTTGTAAGCACTTAGAAGAGCTCCCCATATCAGCACATCAGGTTGCATGGGCATAGTGTTTATCAATTCCCGAGCTTCATCCACGAGTCCAGCCCTACATAGCAGATCAACCATGCATCCATAGTGTTCTAACCTCGGAGAAAGATTGTAAGGTTGACGTATCATCTGATAAAAGTACCCACGGCCTTCATCAACCAAACCAGAATGGCAGCAAGCTGTCAAAATAGCTAGAAATGTCACTGCATTTGGCCTGGTGCCAGCCTTAGTCATTTCTTCAAAATTTTGGAGTGCCTCATGCCCATTTCCATGCATTGCTAAACCACCCAGTAACGCATTCCATGTAGAGACATTCCCACAAGGCAATTCATTGAAAGTCTGCAATGCCATCTTTATACAACCACACTTCGCATACATATCAATCAGAGATGTTCCAATATGGATATCCCATTTGATTCCTCTACGATCAATATACTCGTGGACCCATCTACCATAATCAAGAGCCCCAAGACTGGCACACGCTGAAAGCACACTAGCAAGTATAATTTTATCAGGCTCGATGCCTAAGGTTTGCATGTTGCAGAACAATTCCAGTGACTCCCTTGGACGTTTACATTGCACCAATCCACTTATCATGCTAGTCCAAGATACAATGTCCCTTTCAGGGAGCTCATCAAATATTTTCTTTGCATCACATAAACTCTCACACTTAACATACATATCCACAATAGCATTGCCTACCACCAAATTTGTACCCAATGAACGCTTGAAGATTAATCCGTGAATCCCCTTCCCCACCCTCAAATATCCCATTCGCCCACAAGCCACAAGTACACTAACAAAAGTTGCCACATTGTGCTTCACATCCATCCTAAAAAACAAAGATATAGCCTCGTCAAACAATCCTGCTTTAACATGGCCAGATATCAGACCAGTCCAAGAGACCACATCTTTCACAGGCATCTCATCAAACACTCGGATGGCACCACCACAATCACCACAAACGCTATAGAAATGCACAAGCGAGTTCTGAGCGTAGACATCACACTGAAAACCCATCTTAACAACCACCCCATGAACCTGTCTTCCCTCTCCCTTCCCCAAAAACTTAACACAGGATTTCAAAACCGCCGGAACAGTGTACATGTCAGGCACAAACCCATCTCTCACTATCCTTCTATAGACCAAAACCGCCGCCCCTGGCTTGTCACCATTGGCATAGCCAGAGATCAGCGTGTTAAATGGAAAAGAGCTGACGCGCCAATCAACTTGTTTCAAAAAGTCACAAGCGTAATCAACAGAATTAACATTTTTTCGGAGAAAACCAACAACATTGTTAGCAACCAAGTCATTGCAAGCTAGGCCAGAAGTTACTATTTGTGCATGGATTTGCTTGAAACAGCTGAAGCCGCTGCACCTATCAATCAAATCCAAGAGAACCCATTTAAGAGAATGCATATTACTACTCATCATATCAGCTACATAACGTCCATTTCGAGAAACAGCACTCTGAATTCCCCATTAACAAAGCTCCCATCCATATAAATGATAGGAAAAGATAACCTCTTTCTTTACTATTGTGACCCAAATTGAAAGGCATAACATAGAAAATTCCATTGTTAACCACAAGCGTGCTCCATAAAGAGAAAGCATTCATTGATGCATCCAACTCAATTGTAGTTTCGACTTGAGAGAGACTTCAAAACTGGAAAGAAAAAAAAAGAAAAAGAAGAGAGATGTGAACTGGGCATTTGCAGAGGAACATAAACTTTGCCGAAGTATCCAATTCAATTGTAGTTTCGAGTTTCGAGTGAGTTCCAAACGCCAGAATTGTGGTCAGTCAGACTCTTCCATTGCTTTGAATTTGAGCACGAGCAACATCGAACATCCTCGGATCGGATTGTCATCCAAACGACGTCGCGCTTTACGTTAATTTTTGTTTGGGCTTCTGAACACGCGCTTCATCACACATGTTTTGGTCTTATTTGTAAACCCACAATGAAACATGTTCTGGGCTTGACATAGTACGGTCCATGCATTCTTGTGTTAGGATTGGACTGGATTACGTTTAGGAGCCCTTTAAGACGTCTAATAAATTGGGCTAGGATATCCACAAAATTACAATCAAAAGAACGGCTACACATGAGACGCGTGTAACGAGGGCCAGCCTGGAATTCTAAAAAGTATGACCTAAAAGGATGGGCGGGGACCACCACGAGGGGTCAGCGTAAAAATAGAACCAGCTGGACCCGCATACCAAAGGACACGTGCCTTCATTGCATGGACATGACCGTACTTCATGGCCCACACTAAGCCACTCGGCTTGGTCCACGCCCCACCAAAACTTTCTCTACTATTGTGGAACCCAACAGAGCACCACCTTGCACGTGCGCAACCCAACCTTAAGTGGACTTCTTCGCTTCCTATATCCCGAAACGGGTCTCACCTCACACGTGCAACACAACTTCACGTGACCAGGAGCTTGCAAAAGCTAAGCCTAAAGATTATTTCCAATTGCGAAAGATTAAAGTTTAAATAAAAAATTGAATAGTAATGCAACTTGCTTGCTAGCAAAACAGATGCAAAGAAAAGGGGCCTTGCATTAGTAAAACCCAGATTAAACAAAACCAAACAGTGATTTTTTTTTTTTTTTTTTTTTTTTTTTTTTTTTACATTACAAAAGGCCTAAAACGCTAAAAACACCTCTAACCCTAAACTAACACTAGAAATTTGTTGACTAACAAGCTCAATCTAAGGCTTAGAGTATGGTGTTTGTGAATTTGCACCCATGAACTGAAGCTCTCTCTTATCATAAATCTCCAAAGAAAAATCCCTCAACATCTGAGTTGTTGTGGCACTAGCAGCAGCAGCAGCAGCACTAGCACCAGTCCCACTACCAGTAGAAATGGTGTTCTTATTAGCTCTGGTTCCTGAGGCTGAGCCCAAACTGGGTCCCAAACTAGACGAACAGCTCCCCCCCGAACCCGAAGTTGCACCGCTCGAAATCGAACCCGAAGAGGCCTGCAACTGCACATCCCCACCAACAACGTGAACACCTGGTTGAAAAGCCGACAAGAAATTGGAGATGGGTCTTGCTTGGAAATTGAAAATCGGGTTTGCAGCATCCGCAGCTGGAACAGCCCAAAGCTGGGGCTGGTTTGGGTTCATAGCCCCGTTGTTTGGGAACATGAAGAAAGGCCCAGCTGCACCAGTTGCCCCAACTTGCCACATGGGCACCAACCCATGTGCCCCACCGCCGCCGCCACCGCCGCCATAGCTCATTGGGGCCAACCCACTAGACACAGAGCTCTGCTCATGCACATCAACGAACTCACTGTTCGACCCTCTCTTCCGTCGCTTTCTGGGTATTTCAGTAATCTCACCGTTGGGTCTCGCCGGTGACGTTGTGGGTATCTTTAGAGTGCCACCGACGGAGACGGCAATGGCGGGGACTGTGCCTGTGCCCGTGGCTTGCATAATAGCAGGCTCGGCGTGCTCGAGCAGCCACCTTATGGTTTCGCCGTCGGACTTGTGGCCAAGTTCTCGAGTCAGTTGAAAAATCCTGGCCGCACACGTGGCGGGCATTCGGATCCTCCGGCCCCGGCCCTCCACCTTCGTGTGGCGGTCCTTCGACGACCTCTTTGCGGCCACCACTTGTTTCTCCGACGACGTAGGAACCGGCACCTGAATAAGACCCATAGGCAGAGATCCTTCGTCCAGTTCTTGCACTGTGTCCGTCAGCTCTTCTTTCATCGTCGGCGCCGTCAAGGGAAATATTTTCTCCGGAGGGTCCGCCACTGATGGGTCGGATGCTGAGGTGGTGTTGTCGTTGCTACTGCTATTGCTCTGCTGTTCAAGCTCGTTGCTTTCTTCAAGGCTCTGCCTTTGATTCGGTTCCATCTTCAACGAAAGTCTCAGAGAAAAAATCTGTTGGATTTCAAGAATCGCAGCGACACTCAGAAATTTTTGGAAAGCAGAAGAAAACCCAGAGAAAATCACACGAAAACAAGCTAAAAGGAGGAGGAAATTTCACGAATTTAAAATCAGTAAATCTGGGTTAGCTGCAGAAGCAGAGCAAGAACAGGGCATGATACTTTGACTGGGTTTTGAATCTCTGTTCATACTAAGGGGTCTAATTGAACAAATAGAAAGTAAAAAAAAACAAAAACAAAAATGGTCGGTAATGCAAAACAATTATGAAATCAAGGAACAGAGAAAGGAGAGAGAGAGAAACAAACCCTAGAGAATCAGAAAAGCCCCACTTATCCTCTTTTCTCTTTGCGAGCGAGCCCTACCAACACCAAGAGGGACCCTCAAGCGCTTTATTTATTTATTTATAGCGGATGGGGGTCCTATCAACGGTTCGAGAATCTTCACACACATCCTGGGCCATGGAGATGGTGACACGTGATGGGTTCTATTTTGTTTAAGAAGGTGCATTTTTTTAAAACTTAGTGTGATTTGCTCTCTCGGTGTGATTTTGTGGGTTCGGAACCTCCGGATTGGGCCTTACATAGAGGTGATCGCCTGCAACGCGGTCCATTTCATGATGAGTATTACTAATCATGTCCTGCCACCTAATCATCGTCAAGAACCCTCAAAAGTCATCCTTATCCACTTGTGGGCCCCACACATCCCACGCATAAAATTCTTTAAAGAGAATAACTGATGTGGTGGAATTCACTTACATCAACGATTGACAGCTATTCTCACACACACATTCGTGAGCAATTGTTGTATTCTCTCTCACCAACCCCACGCATAACCAAACTTGATAGATATAAGCCAACAGTCACTTTAATGGTAACAATGAGAGTTTTGCATCTTTCTTCTCTCATATTTATAAGTTGGAATACTTCAATTTGAATCAATCAACTAGACGTTGATCCTACTAGAAAAATAGCTTAGGTACCCCAAATAATTAGGTGGATCACAAGCCAAAGCCTCTAGGTCAATTTTGTAGTACACACAGGTTGAGGTTGTTCCTCCATTGAGTAACTTGAAAGTACGATCAATATATAATGTACACAAAATATTCCTGAAATCTGTATATACTTGTTATTAAAATCACTATATATACTGGTTCCATTGAATTTCTCAGCACACTCGAATTAACATCTCTTGGTTTTGTGAATTTTGTATCTTTGTCCTAGCAAAATGGCAATGTATGCACCAAAAACAATCTTGTTCCACACATTAATCTGTCTTTTGTTAACTATGGCTTCACAATCAAAAGCATCGCTCAATTCCAACTATTATCATCAAACGTGTCCACAAGCTGAGAAAATCATATTACAGACGGTATATAACACTTCCATGCACGACTCTAAAGTCCCAGCTCGTATCTTAAGGATGTTCTTTCATGATTGTTTCATAAGGGTATAATCTCTCTCTCTCTCTCTCTCTCTCTCTCTCTCTCTCTCTCTCTCTCTCTCTCTCCATATTAATATTAATATTAATATTAATGTAGGGTTAATTAGCTTATGTTTGTACCTTGCTTTTATTGGTTACTTAGGGATGTGATGCATCGTTGCTGCTAGACTCAACCCCAGGGAACCAAGCAGAAAAAGATGGTCCTCCCAATATCTCAGTCCGATCATTCTACGTGATCGACGATGCCAAAGCTAAGCTAGAAATGGCATGTCCACGCACTGTTTCTTGTGCTGATATCATTGGCATTGCCGCAAGAGACGTAGTTACCATGGTACGTCCCGTACGTTTATGTTACTATATTTATGTGTTGGCTGACAAATGTTTATGTATACAAGAATAATATGTACATTATTTATTTCTTGATAGTCCGGAGGTCCTTACTGGAATGTGCTAAAAGGGAGGAAAGATGGTAGGGTTTCAAGAGCTAACGAGACCATCAACTTACCAGCTCCAACTTTCAACGTATCCCAATTGATCCAAAGCTTTGCTAAGAGAGGCTTGGGTGTTAAAGAATTGGTTGCCCTGTCTGGCGGCCACACTCTTGGGTTCTCACATTGTTCTTCTTTTGAATCCCGGCTTCGAAATTTTACTTCATTGCATGATGTTGATCCAAGCATGAACAATGAATTTGCTCAAAAGCTAAGAAAAAAATGCCCAAAACCAAACAGGGATCGCACTGCCGGAGAGTTGTTGGACTCAACTTCCTCAACTTTTGATAATGATTATTACAAGCACGTAGTGGCTGGAAAGGGCGTGTTTGGATCGGATCAAGCGTTGTTTAGTGATTACAGGACTAGATGGATTGTTGAATCATTTGCTGAGGATCAAAGTTTGTTCTTTAAGGAGTTTGCAGCTTCTATGGTGAAACTTGGAAAGGTTGGCGTGATTGAGGATGGTGAAGTGAGACTGAATTGCCGAGTGGTGAACTGATCAGAGAGAGAGAACGAGAGAGAGAGTGAGTGAGTAATAACCCAAAGATTTTTCTCTTACTGTATTGTTCCCAATTTGATAACCAATGATGTAACTTTGATTTCTTGTTTTAAAAAATAAAATAAAAGGAAAATGCTTAGTAACCCAACAATGGTTAGTGACATGAAACTCTCTTCAAGGATGTTATTTATTTACCTTATACTATATGAGTAAGCCTTTGATATAATCTTGAATGTAAGAGAGAAAAAGAAGGTGACCATTCGGTACTACGTCCTTTGTTTCTTTCTTATATAATCCACAGTCTAAGGGCTAGTTTGGCATTGCTGTGCTTTTAAAAAAAACTGCTTCTGCTGTGCTGCGAGAATAATCAGCTGTGAAAAAAATTAGTTAGGCATTTGGTAAACTATATTTGAAAAAGTGCTGTGAGTAATGAAAGTGTTTGGTAAATGACCAAAAAAGAGTGCTTTTATTATATACAATGACCAAAAAGGACATGATGATGCAACTATTTGTTTTTCTTCTTCATTCTTTTTCTACTTAAGAAAAACTTCCCTACATAAATTTATTTATTTATACTATACACGTGTTCCTCTCTTCTCAGAAAAGTAAATGCCTGTTGTTAACCCAACGACACCAATTGGAAACCCAACACAGCCCATCTCTTCACTTCAAATTTTCTCTTTCTACCATTTACAAGTATTTTTTTTCTTCATTCCTTCATCTAACCAAAATTATCTCATGTTTTCCCAGTATTTTTTTTCTTTTAATATGTTTCCCCCAATTGTTTTTAGTACTTTTGGGTGGGTGAGACTGAAAAGGGGAAAAATTGTATGTTGGGTTTATGTTTTGGTGTTCTTGCGATGGGAGATATCATAGTGGAGAAAGTAGCCATGGTGAAAATACAGATTTCTGGGTTGCAGCCATGGAGTTTTGAGCTGGTTTACAGTGCTGTAGTGGGGGTAGTTGAAGCCCCCCCAAAGTTGGGACTACTGCAACAGGATCTTTCCACCCAAAACCAAAAACAAGAACAACAAACTCAGGTGGAACATGAAACTCATCACTCTCTCTCTCTCTCCCTATGACTGGTTTTCTCTCTTCTTCCTAAAACCTACAACAAATAGAAAAACCCCCAATTTGACAGAGAAAACCCTAGATGCAGAAAGTTTGAGAAGTAGAAAACCGAAAAATCATAATTGTAATTAAGTTACTGATGAGTGGGCAACTTTCTTAGCAATTAATTTTTGATGTCCACAATAAGAGTTCCAGCAGCGTTAGAGAGTAGAGAAGGAAATGAAGAAAATGGAGTTCGCAGAATGGAGAAGAAAAAAGGGGCAAAAGACTGTCAATTTGTAAAATAAGTGAGGGTATTATGGGAAAGTTAAAAGTTCATTAAAACAACCGGTTAATTTTTTTTGAAGCAGCTTTTAAAAGCTGGGTAGATACGGCTTCGAAAAAACAGCGATCATTGACCGCGATTTTTAAAAAAAGCAGGATTCCTGATGTTTACCAAACACCCAACTCATGACAAATTTTTATTAAAACTGCTTTTTAAAAAAATTAAGCGCTGCCAAACGCCACCTAAATTACTCTAAATTGTGATCTTTTAATTTTTAATTAATTAAAATTCCATCAAGTTTGATTAGCTATTTGTTCATGTATAGATCCAAAGTTTTCACATTTTAAAAGGCCAATGTTTTTTTGTTTTTTTTTAAAGTATCAAATTTTGTTATTAAAGAAATAATCACGAATTCACTTTGTAAGTGTTTCCTTTTATGAAAGGCCAAATTAATGATAATAAAAAAATAAAAATAAAAATAAAAGATAGGTAGATTCCCCTGAGCGATCACAGTTTTTTATTTTTCTTTTTGTTTGGTCGAACACTGAGGGCGATCACTTTAATTCACATAGTTCGTACACATTTTTTATATGTAAAAGAAGAGTAAATAATTTTTTATATGTAAAAGAAGAAGAGTAAATAATTTTTTATAGCCGAAAACATCAAAATGGCAATGTGTGATCAGTGATTAGTGATACGCAGCAGAAAAACCCAATAAGCATGGCCAAGCCAAGCCACAGATGCACGCTCTCCTCTGCCAAGAAATATACTCATTTAATTTGGAAAACGACACCAAATTAAATAAAGTCACCTTAAGGATTTGGAGAAACGGTGTTCATCTTCTTCAACTCTGCAAGAGCAGTAATAAAAAACAGATTAAGGGGGACTAGGAAGGAATATTTTAAGCAGCTGAAGCATGCACAATAAGATCGGCGATTTTTAATTTTTACATGGCCAAGCCGCTTTGAATCAAACATTCATTCATAGCTAAAAATGGCCAAGCCGCTTCTTATCACTTTTCTCTACCTTTCATTTGCAGCTCTCCTCCTAATAATCAATTGTGATTCTGAGGAAAGAAATGGATAGATCAAAAAATGATCTTCTTCTCTTCAGTTCCTTTGTTTAGTGGTTGCCATTCTAATGAGCTGAAGTTGAGTTGTTGCAAATCAATGCAGGTCTATGTTGTATACATTGGAGAAAACCCAAGCGCTTATGAGGCTTCAGACATAGCAACAATCTGCCCATCGTTCCGTGCTAGAAACTGCTCTTGGAAGGTTATTCAATTCAAACCACATGTTAACATGCTCTGTACTGTTTCATTGTTTTTTAATGGAGTATATTTTCGTATAAAAAAATACCACTTATTTATTTATCTATAATTTATATATATTAAGACTTATGATGTACTTGTTTCATCGTGCAGTACTCTAGCTGCAAGGGAATCGCTGATATACAGCTATAGCAGGAGTTTTAATGGATTTGTAGCTAAATTTTTAGATGAAGAAGCTACAATACTAGGAGGTGAAGTAAACATAAACAATTAAAAGCGTCACTATTTGTGAATATTATTTGAGTTCTGATAAAATCACATTCATTTACAGAGATGGAAGACGTTGCCTCAGTAATGCACTGCTGCAGCTTCATACAACAAGATCATGGGACTTCCCGGGATTATCTCCGTCCCATGTCAAGCATATAAAAGAGGGAGATGAAATCATTGGAATGATGGATTCAGGTGATGATCACCAACATCAAACAAAACTCTTAACACCCAATACTCATTTTCAGGCTCAGTTTTTCGGTGTTTGTTAATCATAAATTCCAAAGCTTAGAGTTAATTTTCAGGAATTTGGCCAGAATCAGAGAGTTTCAGTGACAAAGGATTTGGCCCTCCACCAATAAATTGGAAAGGAACGTGCAATACTAATAAAACTTTCACATGCAACAAGTGAGAAACAAACCCTTTTTCCAGTTTGGTCTTCTTACTAATTGTCCTTATGTTTGAAACTAATCTAATGTACAACATTTTGACAGCAAAATCATCGGAGCGCGATACTATAATAGCCAAAACTTTTACGATACTACCGACATCATACCTTTGAGGGACTCAGTCGGACATGGGACTCACACAGCCTCCATTGCAGCGGGTAGAGAAGTGGCAGGAGCAAGTGTCTTTGGCTTGGCTCAAGGAATTGCAAGGGGTGGAATTCCTAATGCAAGAATTGCAGTGTACAAAGTTTGCTGGGCAATGGGATGTAGCATTGCAGATATCTTGGCTGCTTTTGATGATGCAATTGCTGATGGAGTTGACATCATATCAGCTTCTTTTGGGAAGTCTGCAGCTTACACCTTCACAGACGACCCAGTTGCAATTGGATCCTTTCATGCATTAAGGAAAGGGATTTTGACCATAACTGCTGCAGGGAACTATGGACCTCTGTGTGCTCCTATCAGTATTGTCTCACCGTGGCTACTTACTGTGGGGGCTAGCACTATTGACAGGAAGTTTGTGACTCAATTGGCTCTTGGAAATGGAAAAACCTTCATGGTGAGCAATTCTTACCTACCCTACTCTAACTTTTGTCATCCAAGAAACTTTCATCTCTAAAACTTTTTTCTCAAGCTAACAAGCCCTTGATTTCTTGATGATACAAAGGGGAGTGCTATCAATAACTTTGATCTTAAAGGAGACATGTTTCCCTTGATTTGGGGAGGAGATGCTTCAAACTATCCAGTCAATGCAAACTCCGAAACATCAAAATACTGCAATGCTGGAGATTTGGATTCACAGAAAATAAAGGGGAAAATTGTTCTCTGTAACTACCGATCAAACGGCATTCTCCATACAGATGGAGTCGGAGTTATAATGCCTTTTCAATCTGTTGACGATCCTGCCTTCTCATATCACATTACAACAACACTCATCAGTCCAGAAGAAATTCCCAAAGTACTGGACTACATTAAGACTTCCAAGTAAATAACCAACAAATTGACCTATGGAAAGTTTTATAAACATATATAACTTGTACTCGTTCTTATTTTGTACCACTAAAACCTCAGGAATCCAGAGGCAACTATTCTAGTTAGTGAAACATGAAAGGATCTATACGCACCATATGTACCCTCTTTTTCATCCAGATGACCTAACCTAATGGTGCCTGATATTCTGAAGGTAAAGTATTGCTTTGTTTTGCCCTATAAACTACTTTCAATTTATATCTACTCTCACAATTTGATCTCTGGAATCAAATTAATAGCCTGATCTGATTGCTCTGGGTGTAAATATCCTTGCGGCTTGGTCACCGGTTGGAAGAGCTTCAGTTTACAGTGAGGACACAAGGAGTGTCAAATACTATGCAGACTCTGGAACCTCAATGTCTTGCCCACACGTAACCAGAGCAGCAGCCATTGTGAAGGCTGCTTACCCACGCTGGTCTCCTACAGCAATCAAATCTGCACTTACGACCACAGGTATGTCAAACAATCTACTCTTTGATTTCCTAAAATTCTTTACACACCTTAATGTTTTCCCAATACAGCATATGTTGTGGACCCAAAAAAGCACGAAAATGAAAGAGAATTTGCTTACAGGTCGGGTCTCCTCAACCCAACCAAGGCAGTTGATCCTGGGCTAGTTTTTGATGCATCTGAGAAAGATTATGTTGACTTTCTTTGCAAACAAAGCTACAACAGCACCACAGTAAGAAAACTTACAGGTGACAAAAGTGTTTGCCGGGGCATCAAACCTGCTAGGGCATGGGACCTCAACTACCCCTCCTTCTCTCTAGCTGTAGAAGATGGCCATGAGATCAAGGGCAATTTCCATAGGACTGTTACAAATGTTGGTAAACCCAACTCAACCTACAATGTCAGCATTGTCATGCCTGATTCTATAAAGGTTAATGTGGAACCATCTGTACTTTCATTCACTGATGTTGGAGAGAAGAAATCATTCCGTGTGGATGTCAATGGACCACACATAACTCAGGTTCCAATCATATCGGGTTCTATCACATGGAAAAATGGAAAACATGTGGTGAAATCCCCATTGGTAATTTACAATGTGCTTCCATTGTATTCCTTACCAATCCGCTATATCGCACACAGAGATTATCCACCCATCAGACACATATTTCACCAGGCAAGAGAAGTTCTTTCCTACCTCACTAAAATAAGAATTGTCAAAGAAAAGAAAAATAAGCCTATATTGCCCAGAGGAGGTGCGGAGGATCTGGTATTCTGGTTCTATCATCTCTTAATGTAGTAAGAAAACAGAAATAACATTTTCTTCTATAGTGAAGAATGTACTTACATTTATTTCTCTTTCTGGTTTATCAGCCAGAAGACAAATGGTATTCCGATAGATATATCCTATCTTTTACATTTTTTTTCTATTTCTTTTTGCTTCTTGGAATTCCAAGTGAATTTCTTTGGAAGCATGTAATATCTTAAGAACAAATAAATTCCAGATAAAAAATGAAGCAGTGTTTGTGAAGAGAATACACATTTCTGCTACTACATTTTTCAGTTATGGAGAAACCTAAAGAAGGCTTTCAGCTTTTACATGCTTATATCAGATAACGATCAAGCACTTAGCACATCAAGCAAATACTACATCGGAACGAAAAACATACTTGATACCCTTAGTAACGTTTCGAGCTTCATGCAACAAACATTTGTCTCCATGAATGTGTAGAAGAGCCATTCCTTCAGTGGGAGGCACCTACAGAATTTTTAAGTAGGATTAACAGGCGCTGCATATTCCATAAAACGCTCCGATAAAACTAATTCAAGAAAGAGAGAAGATTTTAATTCATGAAAAAAGTTGAAGATAAAAATGAAAGGGAATAATAGAGAATAAAAGCAATATGGTATGACCAAAAACAGAACCCACCTCTGCCACAACAGTATTCCTCGAACCGTAGAAGACAGTTTCTCCTCCAACCAGAGGCTCTGAGGAAGAATCCTTAGGACTGGTCTTATCATTTGTAGCTTTTGGTTTGAAACCGCCACTCAAGTATATTAACAAAGTATAATGGGTGCGTTTTCCGTCTCCAAGATCATTACTTTCATCAATATGCCTTCCAAAGCGCTGCCCAACCTTGTACCTGAAAACACATGGCAGCCAAAATAATTAAGTTTCAAGGTGCACAAGCCAACAAAATTCAACCTTTCTATTTTTGTTTGTAATCAGAGAAGAATTTCTCAAAGAACAAGTAAAATCCACGTCCCTTGATGAATGAAATCAGTTAATGGACCAGCTCAAAGTTAGAAATAGCTTTTGAATTGGTTCGATCGTGTTCACAGAATGTGATTACCAACCTATAGAATCTGATATTTGGGTTTAAGCCAACAGCAGCCTTCCCTCGAATTTTGATATCAGAAAATAATTTGTCAAGACCAGACTCCCAAATTGTGTCCGCAAGAACAGGATCATTCACAGAGATTCTATCATTGTCTCTATAAGCTTCGCCTTTTGTTGGGCCAAGACTCCCTTGGTGAAAAAACCCAATAGATTCTGCAGCTTTAACGAAAGCCTTTGATTCTGCAGATGTGAGGAAATTCTGCACCTGAATACATTGCCTAACTATTAACAACCATGACTCAATTAATATCTTGCAGACGCGTAAATGTTCAATGGTTAGAGAAAATATATCCATCTAAGAAGAACCCATATGCCAAAATACCAGAAGAAAAACTGAATTTCAAAAAAGATGCAATCTTTTTGCAGTTCTTACAGTAAAGAGATGAGTATCTTTAAGACAAGTTATCTGAAGATTTGCTTTTGTTTTGATGGTCGGCCACTTTGACGCTGTTTTCCTGGAATCAGCTTCTCTTCTGTCTCCCATTTTCCTCTTGTTTGTTCGTGTTTCAGCCATACGATACGAGTATGGCACGCCCTTCTTTTTTTCTCGCCTACTCTGTTTTATGGATTTGTCGAGGCCCATTTTCTCGAGTTGTGGCTTGTCAAGGCTTTGGTGTAATTGGGCTGAGCCTGCAGCTTACTTTTACCGTCCATTGAACCATTTGGTCCATTGGTATTCTTTTACACCACCACGCATATATGCATTGTCGACCGAAAGTGAAAAAAATATAAGCACAGTCGAGAGCAGGTACCACAGTGGTGGCCTCCCCTTCCCCCTGCTTCGACACCCAGGTTCGAAACAAACTCCAAGGGGTTTCTTTCCTCCCAATATAACCAAAAAATAAAAAATAAAAAATAAAAATAAGCACACCACCATCAGCATGCAACGGAACTGGAACTGGATCCTTCGCTTTAATTTTGTTCATATTTATCTAAGTGATTTACTAAATATAAAACTTTTTTTTTTTAATGAAGAAAAGTTTAAGGGGAAAATGGGAGAGGATGCTACCCCATTCCATGTCAGGGCATACTAACTAAGGCCTCTTTGAGGATTTATAGAGGAAGTTCTTAGCCTCTTTTTGGGTTTTTACCAATTACGCACAAATATATATTGTTTACAATGGGACTCGAACTTAGGTTTAAACAGCAAAGAGAACGATCCTTACCAACTGCGGAATAATATAAAACAACATTGATTATAGCTAAAGCATAGAAACCCCAGGAGTCAATTTTTAATTTTGTAATTTTTGCCAAAAGGAGTTAATTTTCAAGGTTAGTATATTTCAGCCCAGCTAAGTAAATATTAATCCGTAAAATATTGCATTGCCGGTAGTAAATATTATTAGAAGGATTTTATATTTAAAAAAATTATAAATAAAAAATAAAAACAATGATTATTTGCGCATTTCAGATGCCGTAAATTGAAGTGACTTGATTGAAACCTAGCATCGATCACCACCAGCACCACAATCATCAAATCCCATATCACAGCTTAGTGTTTCTCTGTTTTTCTTTTGCCACTAAGATAGCTAGGAAATCTTCCTATATCCTTTTTCTTTTATTCATCAAAACCTATTCCCAATAACCATATGACATACATGGGTAAAACTTCCTCAGTGACATGAGCCAACTAAAAAACTGAAACGACTTGAAAGAATCACTCTCGAAAATAACTTTTTTATAATCCCTTCCAACCACCTTAATTTTCCCAAATCTAGTCCAATGACAAAAACTAACTGCCAACTAGCATGACTTTCCTAAAGAGACTAAGAACATCCAGCAAACTAAACTAAGTTTCTGAAATCATGAGAGAAAAATACAAAAAATTCATAGAGTTTCTAGAATTTATTGAACAAACTAAACCAAAATAAAAAAGCTAAGCCAGGCAAAAGGAAAACTAAACGCCACTAATCGTCATTCAAGACATGACATAAAGATCGCCACATAATTACTCCAGGCTCTCACTGCACAAATGAACAATGAATCTACCATAACCAAGTTGCAACACCTCAAGAGCAACCTTGCAAGATGAGGTATAACCAAAGCCAACCAATATATGATACAATAGATATGCCAAAATAAGAGAATCAACATAGGTCCACCAAAAGCCGAAGAACATCGAAGATCCGAAGGGATTCAAAGGAAAACCCGGAGGGATTCAAAGGAAAACCCTCCGGATCTGAAGCTTTCTCTCTATTAGCGGTTAGGGTTTTGTGTGTAAAAAATAAAAAATCAATATTAGGATTAGGAATTGATCATCAAACACTCAAAAGTTTGGAACTTAATGATACACATTTTGTTCTATATCAAAACGGCAAGATTTCCTCTTACAAAAAAATTCCAAACGTAACGACTTCATTTTCAAAAGACAAATATGTAACACAATAGTCTAGTCAAATATAAATATATTTTATTTTTTATAAAAAAGGCAATAGGAAAGTAAAATGAATAAGATTTGTTCTCACGCGTGAAAAGGTTAGTAAAGGTGCTGTTAAACGAACTATAAAATTAACTGAGTACACCCTAATAAAAAAAATTTAGAATTCATTTAACAATACCCTAACAAAAAGAGCTAATCTGCGTGACAAGAAACTATGATAAAATTAAGATAATTAACTAGAATGAGTATTCTGTTTTCTTTTCTCAGACAAGAGACGTGTTTGCCCTTGCTTGGCAGCGAGGGGAGATTCCATGTTTCACAACCAGTTATTTTTCGGTTGATTAGTCAATGCTAATCCTCCCTTGAATTGTCGCAAACACGTCCTCGTCTCGCTGCTAATACTCTCTTTCCCACTTATTTTATTTCCAACCTTATAAGCCTGCTTGCTTCATTAACTAATGGGGATAAGCACCCAAAAACTAAACAAATTTAAATGATAAGAAAATGAAAAAAGTTAGACTCGCCACTCAAGGTTAGCCACGTGACACTGTCATCTTCTATTGGAAAATATGACGAGGGGATGCTGACAAAAGCCGATGTGCTGTCCCGTTCTCATTAGCCCGTCACACAAAGTGATTGTACGATGATCTTGACATTGCTGCATCTCAAGACAATGAGAGATGAATAAAAACGAAAGCCATTTTTTTAATTCCCAATGCGGTTTCCGAAAAAGATGAATAAAAATATATATTCCCTCTTTTACTTCTTCTTTGTTTCTTAATTTTGCCAAAAAAGAGAAGCCATGAGCATTTAAGTAGTGTTTTATCTAATATTTTCACTGCGTTTTCTTTCCTCTAATTCTTATCCCTTTCTTTTTTTAGTGGGGTAGAATTTTAAAGACAAAAGAAGACATAGAGAATAATGGAAGTGAGTTATCGATCAATATGGAAAAAAGGGGTCGGGTAGCCTGAGGATAAAGAAATTGGAACATCCACAATCAGATAAAAAGAAAGTTCTTCCCTTCTGCACTGCACTGCACTGCACTGTCGACTATTTCTAGGGTTTCTGATCTATTTTCCATATTTGTATTCTATCATCCTCCTACACCCTTGTGTTGTGTCCTTTGTTGCTCTTTTTGGGTAATTCATGTCTATGGGTGGCGTCTCTGGGTTCTATTTTTAGAAATCTAATTTAACATATCTTTTTTGGGGGCTTTCTTTTATGAATCCTCCTGGGGTTTCATCTGCTAATTGCTTCTTCAGAGCCAAAGTCTGATACTTTGTTTGGATTTTCTAAACTAAACCTCTCCTGGGTTTGCTTGGTTGTCAAAGGTCCTTCACAAATTTCTACATTTTTCTCTACTAGCTAGTGTTCGAGCACTTCAAATCTTCGAGCGGGTTTCCAGGTGTAACTTTTCTCTACTAGCTTATTTCTTGAGCTATATACATGTATAGCGCATCTTTACCAATTTTCATGGTATTATTATTTTTATTATTATCATCTCACGATGATCTTGTAATTAATGATGGCGATGATCTAGGCTAGGACATGGTGAGAGGGAAGATTGAGATGAAAAGAATTGAAAATGCCACAAGCCGGCAAGTGACCTTCTCAAAACGTCGAAATGGGTTGTTGAAGAAAGCCTTTGAGCTTTCAGTTCTCTGCGATGCTCAAGTTTCCGTCATCATCTTCTCTCAGAAAGGCAGGCTATATGAGTTCTCCAGCTCTGAGTATGTTTCTGTATTTTTTATGTATACCTCATATATATATAAGTTTGAAGCCCCATTTTTTTCTTTGTCTATATGCTTTGTTTCTTAAAGATGGAAACATCATTTACTTTTTATGGTGTTGATGAGCAGGTATGGGTTGTTGTACTGGTTTTGAGGCCAGTGTGTACGATGATACATATATATACTATAGATTTCTAGCTTTCTACCCACTCTGGTCTTGAATCAAAACTTGACTTTCTATTTTATGTTTTATTTGTACCATCCGCATCTTACAAGTTACACATCTGCTCGTTTATAATCTAATCAAATTGAGGTTTCTTTCTTGCTGCTTTTTAGGTGATTAATATTATGTCTTTTCTAACAATTAATGTACGCTTTATTTATTAGTGCATTAATATTGAATGAGATTTCATGGGGCTTTTCAAGTTTCAACTTAGCGTTTCTCCCTAAATAAATTATTGAAACTAGCTAGTGCTTCTTTGTTTTAATGCCTTTGTGCTTAACTTCTGGCAATTCAACTTCTCATTCTACTAACTAATGATTTTGTCCAATATTTCATCATTTCATGGAGTACTTGTCTGTGCATGCAACCCTTATGCTCAAACCTCAAACTTCAACCCATGTTCATTTGCTTTTGCCAGATCAAGAACTGTAACAATTGAACCTAGGCTTACATTATATATGTTGTTAAAATTTTAGAGGGATGGATCAATATTCACTACTATAATTGGTTCAATACCGATATTTTCTTCAACTTAATCACTTGTGTAACTCAACATGTGTGTGAGATTTTATCATACTAGGGCTTGGTGCTATTAGTATAGAACCACTCACTTATGTATTGTATTTTATTTTGTCAATTTCCCAATATGGGGATTTATCACGGCAAAAAGCTCTCATCGGTAGTTCATGATATAACAACTGACAAAACAGCTACAATTAATTCTAAAACTTCTTCAGATTTGTAGGTATTCATGTGCAAGTTCATCACTTAATTATGCATTTTAAGTTTTGTTAAATAAAGGAGTAGAAGATGAATTCAACCCAAAAATCTTAAGCCCCTATGGTGAAGAAGTCAAGTCTTGCACACATAGCAAGGACCATATCTCTAGAGGGACGGAGCTACCGTAGAGGTCCCCGAAGATGAAAACTGCGGTATCATGAGCATGGTCATTGGGGTAAAGAACATGGTTGTCATGGTTTAAACCATATTTATTTCGTCAGAACGAGCTATAGTTTGAATTGGGGAGCATGTTTACATCATTATGTATAATCGTTCTTATCTGCAGCTTCAAATTGAGGGGGTATATTTCATTCATTTCTATTTGCAATACAAATCTTTCTTGAGGTTCTATGTGGCGTGAATAAAAATTTTAAGTTCCTATTTGGTTATACTTGTTGAGCTACTTGATATGATCATCTTTCTTTGTTTGGCGGGCATTGGAAAATAGTGTATCCTTAGAGTGGTTTAAGAGCTCACGTGGATTTAGGCCAGGTTGGGCGGTTAAACTAGGCTATGATACCAATTGTTAAGAGCACATAGGTAAAACTTGCCCCTAAAAACCGGCTTGTAAGAGAAGGGTGCCCAAGAGGTCTTAAACCACTCTAGGATAAGTTAATTTTCCAATGTGGAATCTTGAGTCCCAACATCTAATCCCTCTTTGATGTATAAAGTGTAATGGGGTTTCTTAGCTAGCTAATTCTCAGTCCAAAACAAAATTATTGTTCTTATTAGTTCTTTCTTTCCGCCCCCCAGTACTGTTAAGATCATAGACTCATAGTACATGTGCCTAGTAGTTTATATACTCTATCTTCTGGCATTGAGCATAACACAATTGATCGTCTTGTTCTATGGGAAACCTGAATAATCACAGAACACCATCATTGATGGTGAAAAAAAAACAAGGTTTAATTTTTTGAAAATATCATGTTAGAGATTTTGTGATTGCAGTGCTATATTTAATTTCATTAATGTTTATTGATTGATTTTGACCTTTTTTTGTATTATGATACAGCATGCAAGAAACTATAAAACGATACCACAAACATGCAAAGGCTGGGCAAACCAACAAGATTGAAGTGGAAGAATATGTGGAGGTTAGAAACTCTATCTTGGAATTTGGATTAATCCATCTTTGAGAAGTTGTTATAAAACACAGATGCATGAATAATCTTTGACCACGTTTGATGATTGGGATTGGGATTGGATTAGGAGGTAGATTTAGATTCTATTGGATTGGAAATGATAACACTAATCCAATCATGTGTTGGATACTTCACATGATTAAGGGGTTGGATTAATTGAAATGTGCTATTACATGGCTTAGTATTAGACATATTCCAATCTATCTTAATCTCAACCTTTTGGCTCTAGTAGGATTAGACATTAAAGCCCTACAGCCCTCCACTGTTACATCTCTAGAGCAATCGTTACCTTTGGATCATAGGCTCAATCAACACACACATGACCAGTCTGATTGTTAATCCACATGTGATTGTTTAACTGATTAGGATTAAGCTGTTAGTTTAGTTAGAAGAGAGTCCTTTTAGTTATTAATGTAAGCTTCACTCATTGGCTATATGAAAGCCTCCTTGTAATGATTATTGCATAATGAGAATTTCAGTTTTTACAATTCTCTTTAGACATAACACAATCCATGTTGTTTTTAGGTTGCCAAACATTTTGACTAGGATTACGAATCCTATCCAACTACATAATCCAACTCATCAAATGAGGGCGTTTGGTATCCTATTCAAATAGGGAACTCAAAATCTTTTATTTTTCTTAAAAACAAGGAGTTCTTAAATCTATTTTTAAGATTGAAAAACTTGTTTGGTATGCAACTTGAAAATTGTTTTCAAATCTTAAAAATTTGAGAACTTGTGGATTGTTAAAAAAAAATTGAAAAAAACAGATATTTTTTGTTTTTAATAATTGGGGTGTTTTTAGTTGTTCTTGAGTTTGAGTTTTTAAAAATAGGGCTACCAAACAAGTTTTCTTTCTTTTTGACTCAAATTCTGTTTTTGAATTTAAAAAGTTGGATTTAAGTTGAATAACAAACAGACCCTTAGTAACTTAGATAGAAACAAGTATGATGTAAAGACAAATTTAGTCATATTAATATTAGGGGTAAAAACAAAACTTCTACATTGTTTTTGCTTTTTCAGATGAGTAACATTATTAAATAGAAACGAGTATGTAACTTTACAACTTATTTTTCATGACAATGACCTCTTTTAGCGGAAATGATTTATTTCAGGCTAGAAGCTTATAATTACAGACCTAAAGTTTAGAGTTCTACACCTATTTATGATGAAGGGATCCTAGTCGGCCTTTTAGATTCACAAAAATTAATTTGGAATCCTTTGCTAGATAGAGAAAAGGGTTGTAAATGGTGTGTCAAAGCATGGCGTAAAGAAGAATATATAATATATACATGAGTTAAAGACTGAAACTTAGAGCATTCCACTCAATGCGACCAAGTAGTGTTTCCCAAAAGTAACGGAGGAGTATATGAACAAGATGCTCCGGTTGAGTATATGAACAAGATGCTAAATGTCAAAATCTGTTAAAATTAGGCACACAATTGATCAAGTTGCAAGTATTTTGGTCCTGGGAATCATGTATTGCCACAGGTAAGCATGAAAGAGGCTATGTCAATGAGTTTCTGGGGTTGTTCTTGCCTTTTCTTCCTACTTCCTACTTGGTTCTGATACCTAGTTATTAGTCCAGACATATGTAGTGTTAAAAACATGCAGACACATTTGTTTATGTACAAATATGGACTTGTTGCTTCGTGAAATATAATTTCTTGGATTTCATAAGTTCAGCTGCACCTACGCGTCCGTCTTCTTACATGTAATTAAGCTTCATGTTTATTTATCAACAATGGCACTTGGTACATAAATGATCATCAAATCAAATAGGGTAAAAGAAGAGAAGTCGGGGAGGGAAGAAGGGGGGCTTCAAGTTGTTGAACTAGGTTAACTTTTGGCAAGTCCTATTGCATGTTAAGCACGTCGCTCATGCCATTTTATTCGTTTACAGTTGACAAGTTAAACCTATTTGCATGCAGCAATTGAAGCATGAATCGACTGCTATGGCCAAGAAGATAGAGAACCTAGAAGCTTCTCAACGGTTTATTGCTTAGTTTGATTCTTCTCCTGTACTTTTTTACTCATCTAACATTTCACTAGACAGGTCTTCCTAAATCCTGAATTTTGTATATCTCAGGAAGCTTTTGGGACATGGCTTGGACTCTTGCTCTGTCGAGGAGCTCCAAGAGATCACTGGCCAGCTGGAGCGAAGTGTACGCAAGATAAGAGAGAGAAAGGTATATATATTTCACATGTTTCCTGCCATTTTTATCGGTTCAATGGGAGAGGAGAGGTTAAGTTAACTTGGAAGTGATTGCCATTCCAGGCTCATTTATTTTCGGAGCAGATGGAGCAATTAAGGGCAAAGGTATTTATTTCAAGTGCAACAGAGTTGTAATAGTAATTTGTACGTATAGAGCTCAAATTCTTGTTCACTGGTTCTAATTAACACCAATATCTTTATCTCTCTGAAATCAGGAGAGGCTCCTCTTAGAAGAGAATGCAAAGTTAAGTGAAGAGGTGAGCCTTTAAATTTGAACCCTTGTTTTACATTACTGCTACCATCACCACCATGGTGCCTTTTGAGTTTTCTGGTTTTTGTCTTATATTTTTCTGCATATTATTATGATAGTTTGATGCACGGCCGAGGCTGTTGCTGCAGCAGCAGCAGCTTTCAGTTGAAGAAAAAGGAGCTGTGAGCTACTGGAGTCAAAGTAGCCTGAGTTCTGAGGTGGAGACTGAATTGTTCATCGGACTGCCGGTGACGCGCTGTTGAGATATCACAGCTGCCCAATAGTCTTCTAAAGTCAACATCAGATACAATAATATTAATGCCCGTCAATCATCTCTAGACAATGCCATCAAAATTACAAATAAACAAGAAAATAATGTAATATGGATCACGTATCTTTGATAGGACGTGCTCTCAAATAATAAGGTCAAACAATAACAGATCTAGGAATTGATTTCCTCCGACTCTTTTCACCCTGTATGTATATATTGCAAAATTTGACGTTGTAACATATTATATATAACTGTATTCAACTTCTTGACAATGATTTGCCTAGCCTTGTACCTACCCCCTAAAAAGAAAGAGGGAGGATTGGTTGGGTTGTATAACTTGGGCTGGCCCAAAAGCTAGTTGTAAAAGGGCTTCATGCATCCAAACCACAACGGAAAAGAACTCCTTTTTTGGGCTTAGATTGAGTTTTTTATTTCCTTTTTCTAATTTCATATCTTACATTACGTAGAGGAAATTTGGGTATCTCTCTCTCCGTCTTAATAATGGTTGCCTGCAGCAACATGATTCAGGCATGCACAAAAATAAAAAAAGGAATGGGACCGCTTTCTAAGTCACTGTCACAGTAGGTTTCTCCTTGTTTTCCCATCTTCAATAATTAGCTGCTTCTTTTTTTGTTTTGTCCGTCTATATGGAATATGTCCAAACAACCCAATAGAAAAGTCCCTACTACTCTTTCCAGCTACCCTGTCCAACACCATCACCAGTTCATCATTCACCAGTCGCTCCTCTCTGTCTAACTATAGGGTATAGACATAGTTGATAATCATATGGCCTAGCTAGCTAGGCACTGAATTGGTTTTTTCCTCCTTTTTCTGAGTTAAATGTGACAGGCAGGGACTGAGTTGTTTTATTATATTTGTGGATTCCCGGGAAGAGGACCACTTTGAATTTGAAATAGCTCCCTCTCTCTCTCTCTCACTCTCTCTCTCTCTCTCTGATGGATTCAATTTAGAATTTACAGCATATGTAAGTCGTCAGGAATATGATGTAGGAGAGGAATCTACCAAGTTTTGCGCAAAATCTGAATCAGATGACCTCACCCCTTTATCAGATACTCTTACAAAATTTAGATAGGATAAGGTAATATCCATAATCTTCATTAAAAAAATTACTTTTCCCACTGCCTACTAAATATACTATATCATTGTGCTAATCATGTTACCATCAGCATGTGAGCCTGAAATTGGTCGAAACCTATTTCTTAAACACAACTGTCATTGATACTAGTGTAATTTTATTCTTGTTAAACACCAAAAAAAAAAAGTCAAGTCAATAAACACTTAATATAGAGAGCTCATATATACAATGCTTCAAATAAACTTATGTAAGTACTTCCTGCGATTTTAGGAACCGCATGAATTAACTTCATTTTTAACTTTGATGATAACATTGTAAATATTTATAGAATTCTGATAATTGGGTAGGACCAATATATATATATATATGTGATTTATTTTTATTTTTATTTTTCTCTTGAAACATAAAATTAACTTGAATAATTTCAGTACGTAAAAAAGCCAGGTGTCATGTCAAGGAAAGAATAGAAGCATTTGAGGTTTAAGCCATGCTTGTGGTCCCCAAAATACATCTCAGAAAACGCTCTGGCCAGTCACCGAAAAATCTGAGTCAAGTGGGATTTCTATGCACAGTTTTTGGGATCCATATGCATGGCATGATGGCAGCCATTGCCATATGGTTTGGTTTCATCTGTCCAATTGTCCTCCACTGCCCTTCCCATGTCGGGTGAGATTTCTCTGTTCACGCAGTGACTGAGTGGCTGAGTGGCTATGGCAACAACAGTGTCACAGTGCATGATTTTAATTTCAAACGAAATTTGGGTCGTTTTACAATATATATATATATATATATATATATAGGCTCTGCTGCGTACTTGTTGTGTATACAAACAAACCAAACTTAGCAATGGTACGTATAAAAAAAAAAGTAACCTTCATATCATTAGTCTGTTAATTATGAATTTCATACATGCAAATTAGGAAGGGAAATAAAATTCTTAAATGGATGTTTGTAAATCTCAATCCCTGTGTGTGAGAAAAGTAAATAAACAAAATTGGGATGCTTTATATGTAAATGTAATATACTGACAATTGTTGCAGTATTCATAATTATGTATAGCTTCAAACTTATGGAAATTAGTGTTCATGACTATTTACCCCTCTTGTGACATAGAAGAGCACTGTTTAGGATTGTGTAAACAGTCTTCTGATCCATAATGGTTTAATGTTTAACATATGTTATGTTATACAAGAATTCTCTGTCACAGGAGGAGCCGTACATATATATATTCCTGAAAAAATTGATGCGAACCTCCTGAATTCAAGTGGAGCTTATAATATTTATATTTTGCGATAAGAATATTATACGTACTACATTTTGTTAATATTGTGGTTTGATCCAAGAGAGGTATATAGGTTATGAAAATTTCAAAAAAATTGTTATAATTATTACAACTTGTGAAGGGAGGAGGAGGAATGGTATGCTACTCAGTCATCAATTATTGAAATCAATGACACCTTTGAGTTTGACCCATTATGCTTATGATACACATTTGTACTGTCCTTGAGGCTTGGGTTTAGTTAAGCCTATAACCATGGTTAGTTGGCTATGGCTAGCATCAGAGAGAGAATCAAACTGTATAGTAATTGATGAAACTGGAAAATGTCATCTTTAAATAAATATTAGATGCTCGCAGATCCCCAATATACACCTCCTCGTCCTCGTATATCAAAAACCCATCAGGGGCTGTGCTGTGTGGGAATCACTTTGACACTGCATCTACACTCAAATATTATATATATATATATATGTATGTATAGCGAAAGAGAGTGCTAAAGAGGTGCGTGGTCATATCGTCATCTTTTTCATTTCTTTGCATATAAGTTTCATTTCCCAGAGAGAGAGAGAGAGAGAGAGAGATAGAGAGGGCACAAGTAGTTGTTTTCTTGGTTTTGGTCTGGTAAAAGCTTGGGAGTGAGTGTTCAAAAAACAACACCAAGATAAAAAGAGATAAAAGGAGGCAGTGTGGGAGAGAGAGACAGAGATACCCGAAAACTCACACTGACCCCTTTGCAGTTTTTGCCATATACTTATTGATTTCCTCAAATCATATTGTAGCTCTCTCTCTCTCTCTCTCTCTGTGTTTATGCTTCATGGATCCGCTTTTAACGCTTCTTCATGAGATCACAGCATCCTCCCCAGTCCCCACAAGCTTTGCTGCTTTTCTTCCGTTCCAAACTCTCACAAACCATGACCAGTCCTAGTCTATTTTTCTCTCTGCAGCTGCTCTAAAGTCTTACTTAACACTACTGGCTGCTTGCTACCTTCTGTCCTTTTCACATTTCATTCCTGTTTTCCCATTGTTGGAGAAGCAAGCTTTTCATCCAGACCCACCATCAATCTTTTTGGTTCTTGTTGAAAAAGCAAAGAGAGTTTTTTTTTCTTTTCATCTTTTGATTTTCTAGTTATGGGCATGGGGGAGTGGTATTGGGGTTCTGGAAGATCCTCAAAGAGAGGTAGAGGTGGAGGAGGAGGACCAGCTGAGAAAGACATGACCACCTCTTCTGGTTGCATGTGTGCTGTCTTTCAGCTCTTTGACTTCCATCAACTTCAGCTTGCCAACTTACACCACCCACAGCAACCCTCTTTCAACACTTTCCACCAAGAAGATCTCACTGTCCCCAAAGGTCCTCTCTCTCTCTCTCTCTCTCTCTCTCTCTCTCTCTCTCTTTAAGAATATATATTTTTGAGTAATTAACAACGTAGTTTTGTGGAATTCATCAGGTGTTGAAGCACCTAGGAACAGCTTGGATTCATCAGAAGGGACTTCACTATCATCTACCACAAAAGAAGAAGAAAATTTAAATAGTCCAGTAAGTTTCATTACTACTAGTACCAAAGCTGATATATATATATATTCTCTTTAATTTGTTTCCCCTTTTTGGTGTTTTTAAAAAGTAAGTAATGATGATATAATAATGATGGAACTGGGACCCTTTTGTGTTGTTCAGATTTTGAAATTCCAGATGGGTATGCAGATCAAAACAAGTGGAGGAGGAGGAGGCAGAACATCTTCAGCTGATTTTTCATCAGATATTAGCTCACCAGGAACAAAGACCCCAAATTTGGTAGCAAGGTTAATGGGTCTTGACCTTCTTCCTGATCAAATCCAATCACCCTCTTCCACTTCATCATGTAGTAGCACCACCACTCATGCAACTTCAAAGTCAAAAGGTCGGACTCGGAAAGCCCTCCAAAGTAGACCAAGACGACATGTCGTGGATATGAGCGACTCTACTAATACTGCAGCAGTTGGTACTCGTTCACTGCCTGAGACTCCAAGAATCTCATCAGCCAGAAGATCAGACGTTGATCTTCATCACCGCCTTTCGCTTCAAATCAACAAAGAGAATGTTGGGGTGGGGGGTGGTGAGGAACTGGATTTTTGCAGGTCTTCATCTTACAAAAGGAGGGACCTAAAGCTGATTAATTTTGGAGATCATGAGAATGTTAAAAGCCCAAGCCACTATGCTAGGCAGATTGTGAAGCAGGTGAGAGAAAGTGTTAGCAGGAAAGTTGGTTTGGACATCACAAACACCACCAGACCAGTTAACAGAGACAAGCAAGGCAAAGATGAGCTCCTTCACCAGCTTAAATCCAAGAATGGTAATGCTGCTTCCAAGAGTTTAATCAGCAAGGAAGACAGTTCAGCTTCTTTCTCTCCCAGGCTCAGATTCTTGGAGCCCAAGACTACTACTACAACGCCTGCATCATTGACAGCCAAGGATCAAATTCAACTACTTCCTCCAAAACCCAAATCACCTCTCTCATCTTTACCTCCCAAGCCAAAGCCTGTGCAGCAGCCACTGAAAGAAGAAAAACAGCAGCAGCAGCAGAAAAGCCAGACATCAATTCAAAAGCGTAGAAAATCTGCTCATAAGCAACAGGAGGAAGCATTTGTTAGTCCATCAACAGCTACAAGAGCCATCCATAATAATATTCCAGCTGACAAGAAATGCAAGAAAACCCAATTATTGTCAAGCAACAATGTCCCTACCCTTCTTCCAATCAAGAAAGATGCTTCTCCTCCAGCTACCAAAATCCCCCAGAAACAGGTACGTTTGTCAATTTTTTATTAATCTTAACTGGGTTGAAATTTAATCAAAGATCAAATATTCCAATGTTGCAAAATTATTCTTGGTAGCTAGCTAGCTAGAGTTCGTAGTACTTTGACCGTTTATATTATTCTCTCAACTTAAACTATTATAATTATTGTTTTGTTGCAATGCGTTATGCAAAATAAAGCAGGCACAACAACAAGTATCTGAATCTGACGCCCAACAATCGAAACGTAGGTGGTCACAGTTATCTAGTTCCACGAGCCAAACGTACAAACAACAACAAGAGGAGCAGCAAGTGAGCCGGACCCCCCATGAGCTCGCCACCCAATACATCATCAACGTGCCCAACGGTGGCGCCACCAGTTCAGCCACCGCTGCCGGCTCTGCTGGTGGAGCAGCAGCAGAGGCAGAGCTGCTCCAGTACGTCACAAGAATATTAAGCCGTACTGGCATTGATAAAGACACCCAAGTTTCCTTCACCAACTGGTTCTCTCCGTCCCATCCACTAGACCCTTCCATTTTTCACCACCTTGAAAATTCTAACGTTGTTGATGTTACTGGTCAACTTGGTCAAAGGTGCAACAGGAAGTTAATGTTCCGTGTGGTGGATGAAATTTTGGTGGAAATTTTGAGGCCATATATCAACATGAAGCCATGGGTTGCAACTAGCTCAAATTATATTGGCATGTGGAATAATATGAATGGGTCAGAACTGGTTAACATTTTGTGCCACAAAATCCAGAGGTTTCCGTGTGCCGACTGTCAGGTTCTTGAAGACATTGACGATTTAATTGACAAGGACATGCCTGCAGAGTCGAAGGTGCAAAGTGAGATGGCGTTTGAGGAAGAAGGAGAAGGGATCGTTAGGGAGGTAGAGAAGGACATATTGGACACACTCATACATGAAACGGCTAGGGTCCTATGGTTTTGAATTTTTTTGATCAATTGCGTGCCAAAACGGCGCCGTAGGGTGCAGCAGAAAAGGGTCAGAGAGTGGACTGGGGTCACATGGGTGGTTCACGTGATGAGATGCTATTGGTCCGGGGGGGTGGGGGTGACGTGGCAGATTGGGAGCTGTAAAAAGGTGGGGTGGGTGACACGTACGGGCTTGAGAGCCCCGACAGCAGTGACAGAGGACCCTCAGGGAGCTCAGAGGAGGGAATCCATTGCCTTCTCTCCAGCCTTTTGTAATTTGTAAATTTTTGCTCTCTCTTTTTTCAAAATTATTTGTATTATTATAAAAGTTCAACGTTATATATATAAGTAAGTACATCTTGTTTTGTTCTGGTACGGATGTCTAATTTATCATGTAACCTATATATATATATATATACATATGGATAATATGGTCTACCACTACCACCCACTGTTGTATCCGTTATAGTTGCAGTTGCAGGTACCCTCCACCATTTCTTTTTTTATAACACAATAATCAATGCCAATTTGTTACCATTTGGGATTGCGAAGAGGTATATGCCATGGAGAATCCTAAAGGATTTCGTTCTCATAAATAAATAGATAAATAAATAAATAAATATATATATATATATTTATGGGGTCTGAGCTTTTCGCTGTGCTCCAAATTAGGTGGGTTTTCCTAACTAAAAAGATGGTTAATTTGCACAGCCGGTGGCAGTACATGAATGAACGTGGCTTCTGATTTCCTCAAAAGAAAAAGCTAATACACAAAAAGGTAAATTCTGAAAAAAGCCAACCTAAAAGTTGTGCATGCAATCAAACTTTTATGCATATATGCGTAAGCATGCATGATGCATATATGATTGGAAACGTTTAAACAAGGAGGAACCACTCTCTCTCTCTCTCTCTCTCTCTCTCTCTCTCTCTCTGGTAGCGGAAGACTGTATTAAAGAGGAGGAGGAGGAGGATTAATTGATAATAATGCAAAGCATACATCTCTGCTCTTATCGTCTCCTCTCTGTATTTTAAGCCTCACGTTATATATACTAGCTAGGGACAGTTAGGTCAAACAATCTATAGAGGAAGTTTTAAAAAAAAGCGTTTTAGTTGCCATTTAATGTTTCCAATAATAATCTTGCAAAGAGCAAAAAAGCGTGGCAGCAGTGACTGACTAGTGAGCTAATAAAACGCTACAGATATAGAAAGAAACTGAGCGGGAAATTCAAATCGAATGCCATCTTGCAAATGACATAATAATATATATGCATGTGGGTTGGTGCATAATGGAGGGGAGGGTGGGGTTTAATTATTGGTGCTGATGACTGCAGAGAAATAGCAGGGTGGAGATCTGAGGGTTGACTGCATCCAATTAATGATGATTGAGGCGTTTGGGGTAAGAGCTGAAGCTACCTATAGCTTATGGATCTGTATTTTTCTAAGCTTCCCTCCCTTCCTTGAGATGTGTGATATATGAGTTTGGCACCTCTCAACATTAACTTTAAAGGGTATATGAAATTCATGAGGCTGGCGCGAGAGAGAGAGAGAGAGAGAGAGAGAGAGAGAGAGAGGGTTAATGGCTTGATCGACAAAATGCAGTACTTGTTTCATTCATATTCTACCATAACGTATGTTTTTGTTGTGTAAGTATTTACTCATTTATATATACCACCAGAGAGAGAGATGAGAGAGGCAGAAGGATTTTGCTTGCTTTCACTCAAATGTGCATTTCCCTCAGACGTGACAAGTTAATGAAAGAGAAGAGAGCGGTGGCCAGTGAAAATGATGGAAACTTTGAGTTGGGTTTGCATGTTCAAAATTTAAAGAGTTGCCTAACTTTCCCCAACATCTTAATGCATAAATTAAATAAATAAATGGACAAGAGCACAGGGCTTGACCAACTACTGTCCTGAATTACTCCACTCACAGAGCATCTTCATGAAAGTTACTCTACTCAATCAATGTCATGATTATAATTGCATACATATCAGAGCCCATGAGACTAGTAGAATAGTAGCCTTAGCGTTAGCAGGTAGGTTAGGTAGGACCAAGGGGCTAGCCCACAAACAGCCAAGTGGTCCTTGTTAGTTTAGTTGTTAAATCAGCTTATTATTCTCAATCAATATAAAGTTTAATCTTGGATTTGTTTACCCACTTCGTTTAATTAAAGCTTGAGACATTTTAAGGAGGTGCACCAACTTATTGGACAAATGTTTAAATACAAGCAATGGTTTAAACTATAAGAGGAGAAAAGTTTTTCACACACACTACCAAAATGCAATGAGGGCTTGAACCTGGCCGCTAGTATGCAAGTCAATACCCTTTTTCCACACAACTAGACCCATTGACAACTTATCCGATAATGTTTCATTTGTTTCTATATGAGTTTACTCTCAACCTTATTTATTCACAGTAAATTAGAAATTATTGTATTAATTAATGACCGCAACATGTTGGGAGTAGGTGTTTGTGTTTTATCACTCATCTGCCCCAACAAAAAGCCCGGGGTCCATAAACGGCCTTTATTTTTGCCAAAAGGATCAAATAATGCAGAGACAAGATAAGACGTGATGGCACTAAAAAGACTTGCACCTACTTCACTTTTGTTATATGAAAATGGGCTCTGGCAATAATTTTTTCAAATCACAACTCTTTCGTATCATATTTATTCATAAAGTTCAGCTGTACATGTACTGTTACGATTTTCCGTAATAACTCTCTCTCTCTCTCTCTCTCTATGTATGTACAATTCTGAGCGCTCAGGTTGGCTGGTTAGATAAAGAAGATCTGCAGTGTGTGTGTAGAGTGGCAAGCGTAGCATTGTGTACCACCACCAGCAAGTAGCAACAAAATTACCTGCCATGTTAGTTAATATTTTGGTGTACCTTCCGAGTAATGGGCTAAAAAAAATAACCTACTTTTGGAATGTTAGACAATTCCACGAACCCTATACCCCATTGAAATTAGACACATAACCTAATTGCTTCTACATGAACATGATCATAATCATGTTATGTAATTTGATAATGATGATGAACAATTAACTTCTTTCTTGATTTTTACTTAGTAAGATTATATTGGTAAAATACACGGGTGGGTGGGAAGAAGCAATCAGAAGTCAGAAAGGTCGGCTTGCATATCTCATACGAAATGCTAAATACAATTAAAGAATACAGGGGAAGAAAAATGGACGAAACAGTATATTCCGTGATTGAGCAGAAGTAATGCTGCTACTTATCATCCATGAGCTTCCAGCACAGAGAGAACCCAGAATAGTGCTCCTAAGCATCAAACCCAGCACCTGTCCAGCCAGGCGCGGGAGATCCCCTGCCCTTGGGCACAGCTCCAATTCCCCTCCCTTTTCCTTGGAATTGACTTTTCTTCTTTAGTCTTCCTTCTCCCTCAGCAGAAGGCTGCTGATTGTGCCCATTTGTGACCGAAATATTTCCACCGTTTCCTGGATTAGGGGTGTTTTCAGTGACTCTGCCTGATTCTGTTGATTGGGGAACTGTAGAAGCATCTGGTGCCGTGCCACTTTGAGCAACTCCCATTGATTTCCTATCCTAAACACAGTTCCAAGTTCAAGCTATTAGCATTTCTGTACTAATGATTATATAAATACATATATAAGCATTTGAGTGACCCAAATTGGTGCCAAGTATAAGATAAATATGAATGTTCCCTAGGCACGTAATTGTTAAGGAAAAGAAGCAACTTGATTTGGCCCCTAAGGTAGGCATACCCCTGGGGCTCAAACTTACAATGAAAAATCCTAGATTCCTATATGGTATCTTTCAACTAACTCCTGCACTGCATAGTGCATACAGGAAATGCAATCTGTCTGACACCAACATGAAGCAAAAACAATTTCTTGGAAGATAATGAGAAAACAAAAATTTACAATAACCAAACTACACTGAAACATAACCTTTCCTTCATCTGATAAACACGCCTGATGCAGTGCGACGTTGCATACTTATGAATTACACACACACACACACACACACACACACACACACACACATACTATGACTAAACTTCATTACTATTACTGATTCTCAGACAACATGAAATTCACTCCAATCAATAACCATGATGACCATGCCATCTAGCCCATCCATGATGTTATAAATATGATCCTCAAATATGAAAAGATAACATACATAAAAAACAGAGGCCGATGATCTGCTTGGGTTCAAAGCTTCAAGTCGTCTTTTTAACTCCTCCAGTCTTGTAAACTGAGAACTGCTGCTTTCTTGTACCTGTTAAACCAACAGTGTCAGAACCAAATTTTTCAAGACTGTAACCTAAAGGATACATTTAACAAAGATATGTACCAGTTGGTTTAAGTCTTCACACAGATTCTGCTTGATAGCTTCCTCGTCCTTTACAACCTGTACTGCTGCTTCCCACGCCTGAAATACATCAAAACAAATCAGACTGCATAGACAATAAAATTCATGCACTATTGGAAATGATTTGACGCAACATCACACTCAGCTGAGTGTATAAAATCATCAAATCTCTATCCATTCGTTGCAGCTATGAGTTTTGTGATGAATCTGCATTCATGTGTCTTCATCCATCCCTGATAAAATGTGTATGGCTGGTGTAACTCTTAGCTTTTCAACTTTAACTCCACCACATCACCCAATTCAATCTTGCTTTATTATAATTAGACAAAAGCATACCAATATATTCAAAAACTTTGATCTTTAACTATACTAGGTCATCTTGCTCAAGTTGAATCAAATGTATAAATTTTCATGAGCATTTGGGAAACATGCAGGAGAGTTTTGTTCAATATTTGATGAATGTCAAACAGAGCATTACTATGTAAGGATGAAGGCAACTCTTTTCTATAATTAAAAGGAACAAACCTTTCGTGCTTGTTCTTCCTTCAGCTTGGCAGCATGAATTCTCTCTGTTGACATCTCTATTTTCTTCCTCAAATGTTCAAGAGCTTAAGAAGATGCATCATACACAGAAAGTAAAAGGAAAAATACGATTAATCAACTTTTAATATACATGAAGAGAAGAAAACTCATCAAACTGCAGAATATGAGTAACTAACAACGATAAGGAAACAACCTGATTTTTTTGGCCCAGCCGTGAGCTTCATCTCCATTGAAAGATTTGCCAACTCTCGCTCGACATCACGAATTTTAGTATAATTTTCTTGAATGTATCTGAAGCCATTCATCAGTTTCAAATCATAAATAATTAATCTTCTTGAATATGGGTAATTACATACACTAATACAGCAATGCCCGTTGAAACAAATCCAAGAAACATAAAGACATTTAAGGACCAAAAAAGATAGAACCAACAACTGAACTGATGATCCCGTATTCTAAATTAAAGCATTACATAATTCATGACTCGAACACAGGAGAACCAAAACCAGAGAAAGCTTCCAATTTTAAAAGTATGTTGACTTCCCACAGCTCTTGACCACAATTGTTCACATCCTCGAACTGATTACAAAACAGTTTTTCCATTGCCATTATTTCCAACTATTGAACTAAGCTAAAGAATCTCCCTTCAGTTCCGGTTTAACCCTAAACTTCTTGTTTTCCCGGATCCCTAATTCTCAAGCAAATTTCATTTCTAAGGAACCAATCACAGCATCAGCGAATCACTAAATGCAGAATGCAATGACCATCTGATTCATTTCTGTCATAGATTGGAGCAATCATTCAAGTGTAATTACTGCATTAATGCTTCGACACACTATTCAAGCAATTAAAATTCCCTAAAATATGATACATATAAATATTAGTGCATAGTAGAGTGAATAGAAATGTGTGTTCAAACGAAGCCTACTTACTTCCTTAATTGATTCTGTTCTTCCTCGATGACCTGCCACAAAACCGAAACAAAAACACATTCAACAAATCACGAAAAACAGAAAGAAAACAAAAAGAAGTAGAAGAAGAAAGACGAAATAGAGAAACTGATATAGAGAGAGACCTTCTCAGTGTATGTAATGACAGAAGCCTCTCGAGCAAGGCCATCGGCTCCGATCTCAGGCAGCAGAGAAGGATTCGAATTCGAAGCCATTATGTTTCTTATTCGAATTTGAACCAGATGGCAACGGCTTCTGATTCAAACTCTCGAACATACAAAAACCCAACCCATTTTCTTTTCTTCCCTATATATTCGATTAGTGAATACGTCGTCTTCTTCCTCTCTCTCGTTTCTCTTTCTGCTCAAAAGAAACGTGATTATCCTTTTCTTAAATTAGTAAAAACATGTATTTTGATGGAGACTAATTTTTTTTGTTACAATAATAAACTTTTCTTGAAATTAGTTATTTGAAAATGATTATAAAGTCAAATGGATTTAATTTGGTGGGCTTTAATCGGGTTTCGGTCCGTTTCGACGTGCAGGTCAGTTACCGCGAGATTATTTATAATGACTAAACTGCCCTTGTGAACTGGATCCCCCTCATCATGCACGGCTTATTGGATCTTGTGGGCTATCATGTGCTGTGCCGATCGCACATGCAAACTTCGCGGTAAAAGTTCAACTGTCACGTATTTTGGTGCCAAAAGTCCAACGAATTGTGTAAAACCACCGTTGTCAGTCATTACACTCTTTCAGTTTTATAAAATAAATACATTTTCTAACACAAAACTTCGGGTGCATAAGTATCTATTTTCCAATACGTTGGGATCTAGAACATTAAGCATGAAGAAAAATCTAAAAAAATATAAAAAGTAAACAACTTGTTTTTTCAAAAAAAAAAGGTTTCATTCACAAATGCAATTATGCTAACATTTTGGACTTGAAAATTTATTGGCTGGCAGTGGTTCATATTGATAAAACCACTACATCAGTGTACACTTTCAAAGCAGAGAGACACCCCCTGAGTGCTCAAGTGTAATAAAACAAGCCAGGGTGAGGCTAAAACGAAACTTTATAGTAGGGAGGTCCTCCAGGAGCAAAAAGCTCAAAGGTATCTCAGCAGGGTGAAATGAAACTCAAATTACACCAAGGTTGATGGAAGATACATGAATACGCTGACTGACTGACTGACTGTCGTCTCTACTTTTTATCAGCAACCTGAGCTAAGCACCGAAGCACAGCTTCTCTTGTTGGCATTGCAGGAATGGCTCCTCTTTCTGTTACTGTGAGTGCACCACATGCATTAGCAAAGAGTAGAGCTTCTCGTAGCCCCTGCTCATTCTGCAAGTGAAATTTTATGGGTGAGTTTCAGATGCAGGAAATATATGAAAGTATTCAACGGGGGGATGATTTTCTCAATCCGCTGCAAGAACTTTATGTACCTGAAAAAGACTCAAGTCAGAAGCTATGCTGTTCAGTACCCCGCTGACGAATGCATCACCGGCACCAGTTGTATCAACAGGTTTAACTTTAACACCAGCAACCCGGCCCCGAAATTTCTGAGGAATATTGGTTGGTGTCAATTTTCTTATAACCAATCAATGTGATACAGAGAGTAAAGTGGAAAAAAGGTGAACCCCATTCCTATTGTTCCACAATTTTTTCTTATAACAAAAATATGAATTCCTCTTCACTACCAGATGAGCCATAACATGGTGTTGAGGCCACTGACTTCGTAAAGGGGCCAAGTTATGCCAACAATTGTTTTTCCAATAAAGAACAATGCGATGGCAAACTTTTACATTTTCTATCTTATACGGCGTGGAAAAGACAAAATGGCAATGATTGTTCTCGAAATAACTCACTGAAGTCAGAAGTAACATAGTTTAGTGAGCTTTTATCCAAGAGAGGAGAAAGACAATGAACATAGAAAAATAAAATAGATTTCACAAACTTACCTTAGTGTAATATCTGCAACCCTCTGATCCTTCAGTTACTACCAACAGTTTAAGGTTGGGATGAAAAAGCTTGGTTAACACAACATTATCATCATAAGGATCATCTCCGCCAGTCAGGAAAGTGATTTCATCCTCACTTATCTGCAAGTTTGTATATAAGAAAAAACCTGATGAACACCAAGGCTACAGATACAAACAGAAGATTTGCACCTATGCAACAGCTATACATGAATTTTTGTATCTTCAGGTATTATACCTTGATTATATCTGCTTGATCCCATATACTCATGATGCCCTTCCGTGCAGCCTCTTCTGATGGCCACAATGGCAATCTTAAATTTGGATCATAAGAAAGGATGCAACCAGACTTCTTGGCAATCCTCATCGCAGCAAGATGGGTTGACCTGCATGGTTCGTCAATCAAACTAATTGAACCATAATGGAAGATTCTTGCCTGCAGTCAATATCATCTGGATCAGTAAACTTCTGAAAAATGGGTAACCTTCATATATTTTATGCACAGTTTCCTAATTCAAATGAAAAAGAAAGGCACACCTGTTGAATGAGATTTATGTCGAGATCTGATTCACGTAGAAGCATATCAGCACTTGGATTACGGAAAAACAGGAATTCACGCTCTCCATCAGCTCTGAGCGTAACAAATGCCAATGCAGTTCTTGCACTGGGATCAAATCGCACCCCAGAATTGTTAACATTGTTTTGCTTTAAAATGTCAGCCAACATGTAGCCAAATTCATCATCACCTACCTGTAATGCAAGTATGTATTAAGTTAAAACAAGGTCATAATATCATACAGAAAACTCAGGCAGTTTTAAGATTATGCAATGGATGGAGCCACTAAAAACCACTAAGTTCTGTAAGAAGATAGGATCCTTACTATATTGGAGAGAAGGCTAGTAGGATAACATATATATTAAAGAAAAAAAAATTCAGAGTGCAAAGATGTCAAATCTAAAGGTGGTCCCTTGAAACTGTGAGAAAACAACGTTTGAATTACACTTCTAGAGATTGTGAAATGGGGTATATACAAAGAGTTGAGAAAGATGCATACTTTGAACCATCTAATACTCAAAAAGACTCAATATACAGTTAACAAAGGGTGGAGAGGGAGATTCAGTAAACAGGATGAAAGTGACATTGTATTTGTCATAGTTCTTACATTTACAACAAAAGGTGACTATAAAATCTTTCTCCATAACAGAGATCCCAAGAGAAAAGGTAAAAGCCAAAGGAAAACGTGATAAAACTAACTTAGACAGAAGCAAAATACAGAGGAGAGAAATACTCTAATGCACCTTGCCTATAAAACCTGATGAACCACCCAGTCTTGAGACGCCAACAGCCACATTAGCAGGAGCACCACCAGGAGCTTTTTTAAACGCAGGTGCTTCAGCAAGTGAAACTCCACCGACTGTGGGCACAAAGTCAATCAGCATTTCCCCAAAGCAAACAACCAGGGACTTGTCATCTTTCGACCCTCCTTTTGCATCTGAGGAAGGATCTTTAGAATCTTCACCCAGAACCAATTTTTTATCAACAGCTGCAGTCACATAATTTGAGCATTACTAATCAAACAACAAAAAGGAAAAAAATTGTCTTTCAACATACTATTTCTCGGCTACCATGTTGCATATTTAGCTGTCCTGGTTTAGATATATGCTTAAGGTTAATTAATACCCAAAATTTCTTAATTTCGAGACATATATTGGGGAAAAGAATTAGCAGCTACAAGATAAAGCTATAAACAGCAAGCCAACTGGTTCAAAATCAAAATCAAAATCACACAGTTGCACCAAGAAAATACAGATGATGTGATTCGGCATGTTTAGTAAACTAAAAAGGTTCGTCTTTACAGAACAACTGTTTCCCAACTAATCTTCTACTGTTCATTCTGTAATTTTTCAAACAGCTTCAAGACAGTTCACAGATCAACAACCAAACTCATGTTCCGTATAAAGCGTAACATATAATGAATCCATATAAAAGCAAGAATTTTTTTTTCAAATATATTAAGATTCTGGATCAACTGCTAGGAAGCAGATATACCCGTGACATGATTTTTCACTTGAAAGAAAAGAATTTACGATTAAAGGTGTCTCAAAATTTGGTGCAGTGAACTTTGTAACAGAGATGCAATCAAACATTAAGAGAAAAAGATTCATTACTGCGAAAGGAAATTGAACAAAACAGAAACCCAATACAAAGAAAAGCCCAAGAAGAAAGAAATCAGAAATCTTTTTTGCAAATAAGCAATCTTCAACTAACAAAACTAGCTCGAACCCAGATTATGAAAGTTCCAAATGAGATACTAAATGGAATCAAAATCCCAACTTTAATTAGGAGGCATATAATCAAAAGCAGTGTACATGTGAAAAACAGGGAAATAAGTGGTAAACTAACCAGATGTGAGATTATTAGCCATTGTAGGAATGGAATTCAAGAGACTGAACTTTAACCAGAGAGCAGAGTATGCAACAAAAAATGGGGAGAGAGAGAGAGAGAGAGAGGGAGGGAGAAGGTTTGGTGTTGGTGGCTTGGTGAAGTGTAGTTGGTGGTGTTAATAAGGAGAAGGAAGCCAAAATAAAGGAAGTAGAGGCTTAATAGGAGGGTCAATTTGCGATCTTGAAGTCGTCTGAGATTGTCGAAGCTGTTATAAAAAGAAAAACAAACACATATGCAGCCATGGCAATCTCGCAATTTTATAACCCAGATCCTCAGCCTATTCTTACCTGTCTTAGCCTAATTCTTGCCTGTCTTTTCTGACCCATAAAAATTATATTCCCTTTTCCTCCTGCTATTTTTCCTTTTTCCTTTTTTATTTATTTATAATTTTAAGTCGTCAGGGCTACGTGTAAAGCATTTTATATTGGGAGCATTTTTGCCCATTTGCATAGCCATAATATTTTATATTCAGTAAGATCTATTAGCTTTGTACAGAGAGCTTCCATTGAGGGATCCCTCAAATAAGCTTATTTGAGGGACACCCCTTGTAGTGTAGGCCCCACTATTGATTGTATTTCACTAATCCAAACCGTCTATTTTGTAAATACTCATTCAAAGATCATCTCTACAAAAAATCACTTGAATCCGATATCATTTGACCACTCAATTAAGTTATTAAAATTTTAATACTTTCTTGAAGCACCGTGTTCATTGATTTTGTAAGACACAATTAGATGTCGAAACGATTTCCGATTTGTCTAATTTTTTGTAAGGATGATCTATGAATGAGGATCTAAAAAATATATGATTTGGATCATTGGAAAAAAAATTGTACGGTACCCTAAAGGGCGTCCCTCAAATAAAATTATTTGAGGGATCCCTCAATAGAAGGGGACTGTAGCTTTGTATACCATTTCGTTGTAAATAAATAATCTTTTCACCACTTTAACTTAAGGTGTATACTCATCACTCTTCTCAATACTCTAATGTAATTTATATATTATACAAAAACGGTAGAATTTTTGTTTTGTATTAGGAAAAAATTAGCTCCACTATTTTGATACAAGCACAAGAGATTTGTAGTGTAATTGGTACCCCTACAATAAAGTCATGTGTTCGATAAACCTCTTCTTCAATAAAAAAAAAAAAAAAAAAAAAAAAAATATACATACCAATATAAAAGCCAAAATTATAAAAACACCATATATAAATATGGATATTTGGAAACACACCAAAATCTCATTTATAATAAAACAAAGAAGATTTTAACTTCTTATAAATTACAAAAACTGTCATCAATTTCTTAAAACAAGCCCAACTCCAAAACCTCATTAAAAACTAAAAATACTCAATATGGTATCAAAATAATTTAATAATCAAACTTAAATTCAATATGACCAGCTGTCATTTTTTAGATTTATTTATAGAAATTCAATGGTGTATGGTTTATCTATATTATTAGTGCTGAGAATGAGTATATGACTAAATATCTCTATAAAAAACTATGATATTTTAGTATGGATTTGTCGTTGGGCCACCTTTGTCTTGAATGGTCCGAGTGGAGGAACTGTTTTTCCTAGAAAACTTTGCATCTTTATTTACAACACCTACGAACAACCAGGTGGTCGATTGTCCACACATTTTAAAGTAAATTGTTTCTGCTAAACAAAAAGTATTTATTAATAAAAAGCAGACAAATTGAATTTCTTGTTTGTAAAATTATTTTTAAAAAATGGTTAGAAGCAGCATGCCGAGCGCAGGTGTTGGACGTTTTTGGGCAGCATCCTTATGAGTGTGACTACTGGACTAATGCAGCATCTTAAATTTGGGGTGTTCGGGTACTTTTATTGATTAAGAAAATCCCTGAATTAGTTTATAATTGGTTGTGGGGACCACTTTTCAGATCGATAATAATAATTGGATTAAAATTTGAGACCAATATTAACGTCAAAACTTTAATTTACATGCTTAAACTAATAATTACAGAAAGAATCCAAATCCCAAATACAGTCAGCTTGGGGAACAAGCTTTTGTTTTTTTTTCTTTCCATGAAAGCTAAATGCATACACAATCCCAGCAATTAGCAATAATATCAAAATAAACACACAATACTGTTGGCTTTTTACATATCGTATAAAACGCCATGCTCAGCCCATCATATCGTATTTGCACCCAGTAACATGGTCGGGGCTCCCATCCTATCAACGGAACTGCACATTGACCAAACGTTAATTACCAAAACAGATTAATTAAAACACCATCAAATTTTTTGTTTTCTCCTTATCAGCTATTATCTGCATCTCATTATATTATGCGCATATGACCAGTTTTATGCTGTTTGATGGTTTTTTAATGTTGTAAAAATGTTCTAACAGAGAAAAAAAAATTGTAAAAAGGTAAACGTTATGAAACGGACTCTTAAAATAGATAGATTTTAAAGAAAGAAGTTAGTAACTTAAGTGGTTAAGAATAGTTATATCTGCACTGCGCTTGTAATCTTGTGTTTGAATTTCCTCCTTCTCCTGAATATTTGTGGTGTCAAAAGAAATGAAACTGAAAAATAGAATGTAAATAGATATAGATAGGTAGGAAGGAATTTTGTTTGTGGATGGATGTCGATATCGGCGGTGGTGAGACCGACAACCCCCCCCAGTGAAAATCCAAAGCACAATCCTCGTGGCAGCATGCATGCCGTGGGGTCGAAAGCCAATACGGAACTTAGGAAAAAAGCAAATGCCGCCTCCCTAATTATCCTTTTGAAAACATTATAGCTCATAGCCTCAAAATGGGAATCCTTAGAAAAAGATTTTGGAACTTAATTATGCATTCATTGGAATAAAACAATGCACGATCAACCATTTGAGAGATTAAATCAAGCAGCAGAACAGAACATATCCTTCATTATATATATATATATATTATTGTTTGGCTTTCTAAAATAAGAGAAAAACTTAGTTGTAATGGGAATAGCAATGTTTTATTATTTTTTGGCTAATAATGCTATGTCACGTGGAAGTGTTATCATGCATGTCATAGCGTTATTGGTCGGAGATAGCAAAATAGTGCTATCTCCCGTTTCATGAAAGTCTTTCTCCCAAAATAGCCATGGACAAATCTTTTGATTGCTAAATCATTCAAGTTATTTGGGAGCCAAAAATGGAGTAAGTAAGCAATATATATTCCTTTTGAGAGATTATAGAATACTATGGTAGTACGGTCACATTGTACATCTTGTACACATGTTATAATATAAGTAAATATTTATATATACTACTTCCTAAAAAGGGGGAAAATAAACTATGTTATCCACCGATATTATATCACATATACAAGATGTACCATGTGATCGAACTACCGTAGTATTAATTTCTCATCCAATACCTATGTGTGTAATAAGTTCACCTTGGTGTTTTCAAGCCACAAAAAATCCTCTAATATTACGGAAAGAACAAATTAATATGACATTAAATTTGCAGCTGCTCCCACCCCACGCTACACCACCATGCTCCTCCTTTCAATTGATGTACCCGGGCGACTGGTTGACATGGTCCATGTTTCGAAAACGAAAGTGCATAGCTAGTTAAGCTCATGTCGAGTACATATATGATGATTTCTTAGGGAAGTTGGGGTAATAAAAAGATAATTTTTTGGGGGATAACAAAACAAAAGGAAAACAATTAACTAAAGTGGAAGAATGTTTCATTTTATGCATCAAAAGAACATGCAGCTAACTTATGTCTTCATTACTCTAAATTATTAATGTTTCAGTAATTAAACATGTCTCGAAAGTACTAGTTATGCAGGCAAATCAATCGCTCGCTTCGTTTGAACAATTTATACATATATATATATATATATATATATAATGTGATGAACTTTTAAAGAAGCCAACCCCGCTGGTTGCAGTTACTCTTGTTCCCACCCACCATGGCCCTCCCTTGATCATCATCAGCTGCTTTTTCTTGGGGGGCTGGTTGGTGATCCCTGTTTTATAAATTGAAATTTTATATCCACAACCACATTTGTCAAATATTATTGTTGGTGAGAGCATATATATATGAGAGGAAAAGGATATATGATCGAATGTTTACCATATCTGTAAGCGTAAGATGGGATGCTCTGATTCAATGCGATTGTCTTTTGTAAGTGGAAGCTCTCCCGGACCTTGCGGTGTTGCTTGAGCATGCTCTTCTTCCTCAAGCTGAAATTCCAAAATAGAAACGCGGAACATTGAAAATCATAGCATGGTGGGGCTCTGGGAATTCAATACTAATATTGTTAAAAGTACCTCGGATTTGAGTTGCTTATTTTTCTCTCCAAGATCGTTCTCCTGTCAATTCACACAGAAATTATTATATGAAGTCAACTTAGAAGGGCAATAAATGAAGCGTGTAATTTTTTTTTCTTTTTCTGTTAAGTTAAAATTCCATCGAATCGCCCTTCTAAACATTAGGGAAATCAAACACATTGTATACCTTCGAGCATATCTATCTAGTACTCTTTAAGGAATTACATGTACAAAGTTAATTATGGCCAAATTCCAAAAACAGATCAGAATGAGATGAAAATATGTATCTTAATTGAATGTAGCTTCAACTTCATTTGGTTCAGGATGGCGATATTCATACCTTTTGGCGCAGTTCTTCTAATCGATCATACATCATCTCCGTCTGCATATATTATACAACAGCAAGAATGAATATTATACGAATCAATAATCATGGCAACGTTGTGATTATATTTATAGCTTAATTCAAGATAGAACAGGATCAATATGTGAAACATATTATGGTTGTGAATATATATAGGTGGCACTTCATTTTGGCTCTATCATACTTATTGTTTCTTATTTTAGGGGAAAATTGGATAGTTTTTGCTAATGATCCTTATGCACATGCTCGAATTCAGCTATCCGTACCTTTTTTTTCTTCATTTATAAAAATCTAAAAGTGTACTATATCCTTCAAAAGAATTTAGAAAATATCCTCCTTTCCATATCCTCTACTCATCATCTGATCGGCCATGACTGATATATCTTCCTTTAATCGTGGTAACTAAGACGTCATAATTAGGGACCCTTGAGTATTTGACAACATAACATGTGAGACTACATAACACATATTACTAGTACCTTTCGTTGTCTAGCTTTTGAGAGAGTTTTGCCAAGTTGATTCTCAAGATTCACCAGTTCTTTCAGGCGAAGCTTTTCAAGATCTTCTCCAAGCAAATGCCTAAATATGCGAGGCTAAGAATTCATTGCATGTCTGAAAGAATGATGAAAAAAAAAGCAATAGATTTGAATTATGGTATTACATACCTCTGTGAAAGTTGAAGAGACTCGTATTTGACCTTTAATTTTGAGACCTCTTGGTATAAGTTCTGCATAAGACAATAAAAGGTGAAGAAAATATAGAAATGAGACCGAGAAAGAAGGCCCTCTCATTCCAATGTGATAACAACACGAGGTAATTATGAAATAGCACCTGTGTTTCATTCTCAGCAACATTGCCTTGTAAGGAGTAGCAACATTGACGGTACCGCTCAAGAATTTTGTTCACGCTAATCAAAGAATGAACTGAGTTATAACTGAGAGAGTAGCATATATAACAGTAATCATGAAAAGCATAGGTAAAAACATGACTGGATATGCTGACTTTCTTGGCTTTTTTTGTTGAAGAATTTAATTGACATTGAGAACAACCATGAGACTGAAAAGACTTGAGATACAGTAATCAATCTATATGTATTATATATATGAGCAGAATAGGAAGAGCTTTTGATTACTCCCGCAACCGCAAAAACTTAATTGAAGAAGGAAACATGAAGAGGAGCTTATAAAGATACTCTTTTTATTATTATTAAAAAAGAGGATCCACAAAGCTACTTAAGACCAAAAGAAAAGCAAAAATGAAGAATATTTAAACTACCTAAGTGCGTGCTGCAGTCCGCAAAATGAAAGCTTAGCTAGTAATAACTTATTACTAATAAGTAACAGAACTGTACCTAAATTTTCCATATCAGAAAAAAATGATGTGATAGGTCGAGCCACAACCGACAGGTCATGCATTCTACCTCCTTGGCAAAAACCAATAAATCTCGACTCTTGAATTGTCTCTCTCTCTCTCTCAGCCCAGACATAATCAAAGCAGGTACTGAGGTAGATAAAAAGAAAGAAACCCTAGATATATAAAATCCCAAAAGAATAAACTGAGAGGAGAAAGAAGCCCTAGCTAGGATGACGACCTTCAGTACCTCCAGTCAAGACCCGTCGGAGTAGCATAGGCTCTCAATACAAAGTCTCCCCCCCAGCGGAGGAAACAAAATTTATTGTAACCGAAAACAAGCAATTAGGTTCACCAAATAATCATATGTAAACTAAGAATTCTTATATACACACAAACTTATTTATGATGTTTTAAGAATCAAATGAAACAGAACTTGTTAAATAAATCAAGAACAAGGGAATCAATAATTATATAAAAAAAAACAGAGAAATATGTATATATATATATACTCAGTGCTGCCAAACTCATAGAGCTTGCCACGGCTGGAGGAGATGATGAGGGCAACTTGGGCATCGCAGAGCACAGAGAGCTCGTAGGCTTTCTTGAGCAGACCATTTCTTCGTTTTGAGAAGGTCACTTGACGGTTGATCTTGTTTTCTATTCTCTCCAACACCACTTTCCGTCTCCCCATTGATGATAGAGAGATATTCTTTTCCTTGTTTCTTTCTTCCTTCCTTTCTTTCTCACTCTAATATTATAAACGTATGTGCATTATACTGCAATTGTAATTGCACCACAAAAAACAAACAAGGAAATTTTAAGTTCATTTGATTTTTTATGGTTTGTGGCACTATCTATCTACGTCACTTTGTGAGAGAGAGAGAGACTGAGACTTAGGGTGGGAAGTGACAGAAACACGTGTCGACTAACGGGCATCGGATAGTGCTTCTTTTCACTGATAACATTATAAAAAGAACCCTACAGCTACAACCAGTCAGTTTAGTCCTAAAGTCTAGACTTTATCATTGCTAACCAGTCTGCGAATAGTATCTCGACACGTATCCGAAGCTCCTGAAACATTGAGCTCGCCCTGTACGATATAACTAGTTGGTTTTCTTAAAAGTCCATCGTTTTCCTTTCCCAATTGGTCATTACCTTCATAATTAATAGCTTTTTTTGTCAAGTGGTAATTTTGTTTCTTCCTTAATAATATCAGTTGCTATTAGGGGTGGGCGCGGCCTAATTCGGTCTTTTACCTTGCATCGGAGTTGAATTGGTATTATTTAATCAGTGCGGTTTAGTCCAATTTTGATGAAAAAAAAATTATGAAACTAGCTGATCCAATTTAAACTGGTTTCAGTGTGATTTTTTTTTTTCCGAACTGAATTTTATTTATTTATTTTTACAAATTCTAACTAAAATTTTATTTTTGGGCTTTAAAATTCACAAATAATCCAATTTCATGCAAAGAGAGATGATTGAGCATAAAAAAGAAAGGTGCTTTAAAGTTGGGCTTGAGGAAATACTAGTTATGAGATTAGAAATTAAGCATTGGATTGAAATAATTTTAAAATAAATATATTAAAAAAATACGCAATCAATCTGGTCGAGTTTTATAAGGTGTGAAACCGACACCAAAATCGGTTTGAACCAGTATGGGCTGATTCAGTGCTGGTTTGTTGACTTTTTAGTCAACACGATTTTTTTTCCTGTTTTTTCTATCTGGTGTTGCTCAGTGTTCCGATTTTTCGATCTCGATACCCCCTTAGTTGCTATATTCATCTTTAAAAATTAAATCCTTTTTATTTATTTATGAAAAGGCGATGATTTTAAAAGTAAAATATTACATAAGGTCTTCCACCAAAGTATCTTGGATGGTAGTGAGAGGCTCCCGATATGGCGAATAAACTTCCAAAAGAGTTATGTCTAGCTAACCTATGAACCACTAAGGCCCAGTTTGGGATTGCTGTCACTTTTAAAAAAAGTTGATTCTGCTGTGCTTTGAAAATAATTAGCTGTAAAGTAAAGCAGCTCCGTGTTTGGTAAACAATATTTTTAAAGTGCTGTTAGTACAAAAAGCAGTGTCAAAACCGTTTGGTAAGTTTTAATATAAAATTGTTGTAACTGTGAATAATGACTAAAATAGACATGATGTTAAAAGTGTTATGTACTAATCATGTGGTAGTAGTGGTAGTGATGGAGTGAAGGTGGTGGTGGTAGGGATGGCGCTTGTGGAGGTGGTGGTAGTGACAGCATGGTGGTGGAGGTGGCAGCATGGTGGTGGTGGTGGTGTTGGTTCTGGAGGTGGTGGTGGATGTGGAGGTTTTGAAGGAGGTGGTGGTTGTGGAGGTGAAGGTGGAGTTGGTGGTGGTGGTTGTGGTGGTGGTGGTGGTGGTGGTGGAGGAGGTGGTAGTGGTGGTAGTGGCGGTGGCGATGGCGGTGGTTGTGGAAGTAGTGAATGTGGTGGTGTAAGTGGTGGAGTTGGATGTGGAAGTGGAGGTGGTGTTATTTTTTAAAATGAATGATGGTATTTTGGGAATTAAAAAAAATCATTAAAGGTTTATCTCAGCTTCTTTTGAAAGCAGCTTTGAAAAGCAACCCATGCCTGCTTTTAAAAGCTGCTGTCAAAAGGCCACTGCTTTTAAAATAATCGAGATATTTTATTTTTACCAAACACCTAAAACTGCCTAACTTTAAAGTGAAGCAGGTTTTTGGCGAAAAAAAGCAATCTCAAACGGGGCCTAAATTAGCAACAACCTACAGTCCTCTACTAGAAAACCAATCGAAACTAAACCTACAAAATTAAAACCTAGTTGTAAAGGATTACGTTGAGTTGGAAGTTGCTGGGTTGAAGGGTGTAGGGTACACCCAATATGGTATGGGTTGGGCCTTGATTTGAGTTGACGGGTGTTGGGTACAACCCCCACAAACCCAGACCATACTGGGCCCTTGCTTTTGGAAGACTTTTTGTGTGCCTCTAGGCCTCCTAGGGTTGCTGAATTAAATAAAAACTGAGCCTGGTATCTTTTTAATCAAATGATAGACTCTCAAAAGCATATACAACGTAGCTGTCACAATCTAAACCCGGGAAAGTAATCAACAAATGCATAATTTATACCCTTAGCCTATATGACTGGGAAAGTGATTAAACAAATAAATAAGATTTTCTCGAGAAAGTATGGAAAAGCAATTCACATGATGACATAAAACTTAAGATAAGTGATGATACCCAACGTACATGTGGCAGCCTTTGATTTTCCAAACTTGTATGAATCTGTCAGCATTCAGGCCTAAGATCTTCCCCAACTTCTCTCCTTCTCTCTCTCTCTCTCTGCTTCCCTGCTCTGCAAACAAAAAAAATCAAGAATGGCGCTTTCTCTTAGATTGCACAACCTTCTCTCACCCACCTTCAGACCCAAACCAGCATCAGTTTCAAATGCCTCCCTCTCTCCTCCAAACCCATCTCTCTCTCTCCTCTTCTCTCCTCTCCCACACCTGCCTCTCAGAACCTCACACTCCCTCACCATTAAAGCCACCTCCTCCTCCTCCCCTTCTTCTCCAACAACGGTTGCTGATCAACAGGGCATCAAGGTCTCTCAGTCTATTATATATTGTATAGTCTATAAACTATGTGTTTGTTGTATCATGCATACATGAATGTGTTTTTCTCTGTGAATCTTATTCGTTTTGAATTTTGGCTTGATTTAACAAATGGGTTTTCTGTTTTGTTTCAGATTAATCTGGTTCCCACTAAACCAATCGAAGGCCAGAAGACTGGAACCAGTGGTCTCCGAAAGAAGGTTAGTTCTTTAATCTTTTCGTTATTCTCTTTTGTTTATTTGAATGGACTTAATATCATCAAAAGGAAATCAAAATTGAATACTTTTCTTCCTACATTGTCTTTGCAATGAAACAAAAGAGCACTTTGGCAACTGAATGAGGCCTGATTCTCTTCCCGCACAATGTTTGGTTTATAGGTGAAAGTTTTTCAGCAAGACAATTATCTTGCAAATTGGATCCAGGTTTGAATACTTGCACTTCTTTATGGTGTCGAATTCATCTCTTGTTCTTTAGTGCATTGAGGTTTTGAACGTGATTTAGAATTTTCTGCTCTGTAGGCGTTATTTAATTCATTGCCTCCCGAGGATTACAAGAATGGGCTATTGGTTTTGGGAGGTGATGGTCGTTACTTCAATCGTGAAGCTGCACAGGTGCTTTTTCAATGTTTCATCCTTTATGTTCTTGAACTTCGAATGCTGCATTAAATTATGCTGTTTGCTTTTTACTTTCAGTCTCCGTTCATTTAAAAAGAAATCCTACTTGCCATGTTTATAAGTCTTTGGGGATTTGTAATGCAGATTATTATCAAAATTGCCGCAGGGAATGGTGTTGGGAAAATTTTGGTTGGCAAGTAAGTGTCTTGTTTGGAAGATATTTCCAGTGGTGGTGCCTTTATATGTTTGTTTACATCTTGTGATTCTTTTGATTCCCTTCTCAAGTAATACTTTAGGCTTCAAATATATGAGCTAATGATGAACTTTTGTTAATGCAGGGAAGGAATTTTGTCAACGCCTGCAGTTTCTGCTGTAATCCGAAAGAGGAAGGCAAGCCGCAATATACTTTATTTATTTTAGCATCCTGGAACATCATGTATTATTGAACTCATTTGCCCTTTCTCTTCTTTCTAATTAATCAATACATTTTATAGGCCAATGGGGGCTTTATAATGAGTGCAAGCCACAATCCTGGTGGACCTGATTATGATTGGGGTATTAAGGTGAGTTCTTATGCATACATAATATAAAGAATGGATGTTGCAATATATAATCTGATAGGACCTAGTCTTCAAAGTTTCCATGTTTCAATTATTTTTTTTTGTCCCTGAATATGTTTCAGTTTTGTGTGTATGCTTTGCAATTTCTCCAAATCCACCACTTCCTGATAAACTCATGTTCACTTTCCAGTTTAATTACAGTAGTGGTCAACCTGCACCTGAGTCCATAACCGATAAGATTTATGGAAACACCCTTTCTGTAAGTATCTGGTTTTATGTGCATATTTGCTACATTTTACATTCTGCTACTCGTACTTGTTAAATGCTGTTAGTTTATTTTTTTTCCTGCTTTCATGTCTTCATCTGGAGTTCAGTGCAGCAAAAGCTCTACTATCAAAATTAACAATTTGAAAAACAGCTAGTTGACAGATAACAATCTCCAGTAGAAGTTGACCTCTAGTTATATATTCTTGAAGCATAAGTTCCAAAATTTATAACTATGCATCAACTTTCATGTGCTCTTGCCATACGATTCTCTGTTTGATTTGAGTTTGAATCATATAAGTGCAATGCAGATCTCTGAAATAAAGATAGCAGATATTGCTGATGTTGACCTATCTACTCTTGGAGTTATAAAGTATGGAAACTTCAGTGTTGAAGTTGTAGATCCTGTTTCTGACTATTTGGAACTATTGGAGGTGGGAAACAAAAATCATGCATCTTTAGAATTTTTGTTATGACAATTAATCCAGTTTGAATACCACTAATTGTATGGGATTTTGTGCAGAACGTGTTTGATTTCCAGCTTATCAAAAGTCTTCTACAATTGGAATTTAGGTATATTCATCTGCCCTGTACCAAGGATTTTTATGGTATTTGAGTTTGCTTTCAGTCTGGATATAGGTTTATAACCAGTAATTTGTTAGTAACTGGGAATCAATTCCTATTCATTCATGCCATGCTTGAGTGTAAAATTTTGAATAGGGTAGTAGAGGGCAATTTCATGATTTTTCGTTATTTTTTAATGACTGGAACTTTTCAGGTTTCTATTTGACGCAATGCATGCTGTTACTGGTGCTTATGCAAAACCCATCTTTGTGGATAAGCTGGGAGCCAGTCCGGTATGTTAGACAAATAAGAGAACACTAAAGTGGTTGTACTCTGTATATTATCTAATAACTGTATTCCTGATGAGAGATGCCGGGCATGTCATGTATAGGATTCAATTTCAAATGGGGTGCCTCTGGAGGATTTTGGTCATGGTCATCCAGATCCTAATCTTACGTAAGAGTTTAAAAATTAAATTGATGCTACCTTGCTATTATGGCTGGGCATTGCTAATTTTGACCTGTGTTGTCAAATAGATATGCCAAGGATTTGGTGAACATTCTGTATAGTGAAAATGGACCTGACTTTGGGGCAGCTAGTGATGGTATGTTAACTGACTAAGGAGGTAGAATTTGTGTTAATGGCTTCATGACAAAAGAAGCATATAGTTTTATTTAGTATATCCTGTTGATGTTCTAAACTTATTTGTGCTGATATAACAAGAGAAACCAAGAAAGCATGGAAATGCTGAATTCATAGATTATACAATTTTTTTAACAATTGTTTTTCAATGGACACATCATTTTGTTGAATAACATACAAATTTCATTTTTGATTAGGGGATGGTGATAGAAACATGATTCTTGGTAGAGGCTTTTTCGTTACTCCTTCAGACTCTGTTGCAATTATTGCAGCCAATGCACAAGAAGCTATTCCATACTTCCGGAGTGGCCCCAAGGTCAGGCACCTATGTTTCCAGCATTATTTTTCTGCTGTGAATTTTTGTTTCAGAGCAACCATAAATGACTCTGTTTCTTCCCTTTAAAACTATTTAGGGATTAGCTCGTTCCATGCCAACAAGTGGTGCACTTGATCGTGTTGCTGAAAAATTGAATCTTCCTTTCTTTGAGGTTTGGCTCTCTTTGACTATTGTATTGATAAAAGCATAGAATCATAATGTATTTCGTGCAGTGGTTTATTCCTATGAGATACTCCTCTAGTAACATATGATGTACCTTCTTGGGCTCAGGTTCCCACTGGCTGGAAGTTCTTTGGGAATCTTATGGATGCTGGGAAGTTATCTATTTGCGGGGAAGAGAGTTTTGGAACAGGTTCTGATCATATCCGTGAGAAGGATGGCATATGGTATGTGTCTAAATCTATATTTTAGGGCCGTCACACAGTTTGTCTACATTACATAAGATTTTTACTATCTGGGGTGCTTATGAGCAAATTCTCTGCTTAAGTTTAGCTTCTTGAATCTTTTTATCCATCATGGGATTTCTCACTTTTGCCTTATGTGATTTCCCACCTTTTTCTTCAGTGAAACAGCCCCGTCATATTTGCATAGTGGATAGTATTATTACAGTTCTGCCCAGATATAGGCCCTCTTTTAATTTAGTAATTTTAGTTTCTTTGATCAAAAAGTTCTTGGCATACTTGATATCTTGCTCTGTTTCTAGTTCTATATAATCATTATACTATCTGTTTCAGTACTGTTAACTTGGTAATGACACACCTGATCCTTCAACATTTTATAATGTGACAAGTTTTTCTGGTTCATGGGCATATATTTTTCACCATCCTATCGCAATCAATTGTTAGTTCTTGTGTGAAATGACTCATGTATTTACAAATGACAGGGCTGTTTTAGCTTGGCTTTCAATCATTGCATATAGAAACAAAGACAAAAAGCCTGGGGAGAAGTTGGTCTCTGTCTCAGACGTTGTGAAGGAACACTGGGCAACCTATGGAAGAAATTTCTTTTCTCGATATGACTATGAAGTAATCATCGCAACTGCATTTTTAAATCATAGTGCACAATCACAGTCTGTACTACAAACCAGATCAATTTGTATTTTATTGGGATAAGTGCAGTTTTTTTAACAAGTGACCCTTTATCCAGGAATGCGAGTCTGCAGGCGCCAACAAAATGGTAGATTATCTTAGAGAATTGATCTCTAGCAGCAAGCCCGGTGACAAGTATGGTAAGTTTGTACTTCTACTTCTCTTGATACTACCATGACCTTTGGATGCTGAAAGTTATCATCCCACAGGAAATTATGTTCTCCAATTTGCCGATGACTTTATGTACACTGATCCTGTAAGCTCCATTACATGTTTTCCGTCTTCCTTCAAATGTGACTTCAAGCAACTGAATTCCAGTTTTCTAGATCAACATGTTTAAATCTAGAATCTTGCAGGTTGATGGAAGTGTGGTGTCAAAGCAAGGTGTTCGGTTTGTTTTTACAGATGGATCAAGGATCATATATCGCTTATCAGTAATAACCTTTCTTCCTTTATTTTTCTTTTGATTGTGACTTATTTATCCTTTAATTTCGAGACCTTATTTTCTATTTAGTGGAAGTAACTTTTAATTTCGTACATATAGGGAACTGGTTCAGCAGGAGCAACTGTTCGAATTTACATCGAACAATATGAGCCAGATGCCTCTAAACATGATGCGGATGCCCAAACGGCTCTGAAGCCGTTAATAGGTTAGTTTACTGCTGTCCTGTAACAAAGGCTTACATAGACTGTTACTTATTCATTTTCTGGGTTGTGCTTTAGATTTGGCATTGACCGTATCGAAGCTGAAGGACTTCACTGGAAGGGAGAAGCCCACAGTCATCACATAAGCACCAATAACACCATGACTGGTTTCATCTGCCAAAGTGTTACCCTAAGCTATGCCCGAGGCAGTGAGTTTGGGGAACATATTCCACATGTTCAATTTTGGTCTGCGGCGGCTAGTTCCAGATTTCTGGAAAAATAAGGCCTAATTCTTGTATAATATGGTTATATAAATGATTGTGAGAATAAAGATATCGATTCCTTTTTCAAGAGGTGATGCCCTTTTCTTCTCGTTATTGCTTTTACAAAGCACCTGAATTGAATAGTACTCAACTCGTAAACTGTACACAGAGCAAACACAGCCTGTCAATAAAGTTTCCAAGCAATACAATGCCATGCCAAAACGGGGGAAAACAGGGGACCTATGGAGACATGTTTTACCTAGTACTTAAAACACAATATCATCTGAACTGAATTCCCCTTTAATCCTCCGTTACGACACGATTAAGATTAGCATAGAAAAGCAAAGTTGTACCATAATAAGGGTTATGATCCATTTCGAAGAGAATTCTTTACCCTTTTAATGAAAAGCTAGGAAACCAGGCACTGCCTCAGTGCCTCTACCGAGTAGCAGTAATCCCACGTCTCTCTCAGAAAGGCAATGTGCAACCCTAGTAGCCATTGGTGCACAGCTATGCCAACATGTCATCACGGTCGTCCCTTTTGGATGCATGATCAGGTGGGAGATTTGATTATATTCTTCTGATCTGAGTCTGACGACCAAGAAACAAGAGCTACTGTGGGATGGATGGATCCTATGGGTTCATCTGAAGCTGATCGGATGTCCATAATATGAAACATCCAATAGCAGGTTCCCGACCCTCCTATATGGGGGCTGACTGTACAGCTTAGACAAGCAAGACTTAGACTTATACCTCCTAGACTAATCTGTCTCAAAGTGGCATAATGGCACAGCACGTACGCACTCTACATGGGAAATGGGATATTCTTTGCTTTCTTTGCTTCTTCTACTCAACTATCCATCCATCTTCTAGTATATGATATATCAACCACTACATCAAAACTCAATCTTCACTTTATAGGGATGTGACAGTCTTCTGGTGTCTTCTACATTTTGCTGGGTGTTTCTTATCACATCAACTGATCTCATGGTTGGTTTCAAGATTTCTTCCATATGGCTCACTTATGGTTTTTTTTCCCACTGATACAATCCATTTCACATATGCAAAGTTGTGCATTTGGGTGGTAATAGCAGGAACCAAGAATGACAGGAATTGGGTCCCCTTTGTAGTTATTCTACTTGTACTATTGTATCTGAGGACAAAACTGCTATAGGAGGAACAGTTCCAACTTTAGTTCAATGTTCTATTCTAGATTTTTGAAGATGACACGAGAGCTAAACCGTATCCATCGATCAATAGCATTTTCTCAAGCAAAGTGAGCATAAAATAGATCGAGCCGGCTTTTCTCTCTTTCAAAAGTCCAAACCAAAATCAGCACCAGATTGTCTTTGCCCCCCATTTCCAATATGATCTAAATGTCCCTCCAGACCCACCAGCAAAAATAATGGTACAGACAATGAGAAAAGCAAGCAAACCTTTTAGTGGGATATAGCAAGAGGATGGAACTGTGTTTGTCCTAGTTGTGACACACGAAAGTATAGTTGTAAATAGATCCTACCTTGTTGGGTCTATCAGTTTCATGGGATCTTGCTCTTCAACTTGAAAGAGAAACTCATTTGCCCTACTTTTTATCTGCATGACATTGTGACAACTCCACCATCATGTTAGTTGCCTCACTCATGTCCCCAACCCTCTCTCTCTCTCTCTCTCTCTCTCTTCCACCTACTGTCTCCTGTCCTCTAGTGAGGGTTTTGGGATGTATAGGAAGTATTTGAAACTGTTGGGACAAATTATAAGTTCTGGTGCTTCCAATTATATATATATACATAGAGAGCTTTTATTGAGGGAGGAACACCCTTGTAGAGCCCACTCATCATTGTATTTCACTAATCCAAACTATCTATTTGGTAGATATTCATTCAAAAATCATCTTTACAAAAAAAACACTTGAATCCGATATTATTTGGGCACTTAATTAAATGATTGAAATTCAAGTACTTTCTTAAAACACCGTGTTCATTGATTTTGTTGGTCTTAATTAGATATCTGAATAATTTTGTTGGTCGCAATTAGATGAGATGAATGAATAGAAACACTCTTTGAAAGCAAAACCTAATACGTTTGACCTGTTTTGAGAAAACTGTGAATTTTACTATAATAAGAACACACTGATGATTATGAGTATAATTACTGATAATGACTGTTAAGCTTTGCTGAATATGGCCACTGAAGACCACACTTGAAAGATATTTAAAGAGTCAAATATTTGATCCCCCATTACACAGACAATGAATTAAGGAACACCACTTGTGCTAATAGTGGTCATCTAATCAAAAAGAGATGCTAAATGATGAAAATAAAGACTCAGTCGATAGTTATTTCTCAAGTTTGGTTTTTAACATGTTGTTACCTTCTTTAAGAATGTCATTCAGTCATTGACTCCGTGATTTGAAACGTCAAACCAAAAACAAAACGAAGGAAAGAAAATAGTAAAATTTCCACTTCCCTTGTTTGTTTTGTCCAAACTCTTCAAACCACTTTACACACTTGTATATGTGCATTTCAGATATTTTGTTATGCTCCAACATAATTAGCTAATCCGTACATATTTGATCCGCCCTGCCTTCCCACTTATCAAATAATCCATGAAACGATGGGAGAAAAGGCAGAGACTTCATGCAAGTCAACTAGACAAGCAAGTTAAACACTACTATTTTTGTTACTTGAAGGTGTGATTCGATCTCAGTGCTTCCAACACACACTCCATTCACTTCTTCAGGAGAAAAAAAAACCCCCCTGTTTAAGATAAATTTGCATGTTACGCCAATTTGGAGATCTAGAATTACACATAAATTTCTTCTCTCATCCACATTGGAGAAAATCTAAATATATATATAATGATTTATGAGTACTTCACGTATTTCAAAAGAAACGTGGTGTGTTTAATCTACACTTGCATCCCCTGTTTTGCAACGATTAAGAACGCCGATTCCTTTTCTTTTTTGCCACAATCCTATCTTTCTTATGTAAATGTGGTTCTCAAATTTAGAGATCCGACATAGACTTTGTAAGGAGTAATCAATTGGCATATAAACAATTACACTAATGACGTGATGCCTTAGTAAAACTTAATTCTCATTTTGTACCATACCTGGCTAAATCGGACCCAGTACCGGCATACGTGGTGTTGGTGGACCTGTGAAGGTGCGTTTGGGACTCAAACCCACCAGCTTGGTGTATGAAGAATGTAGCTGTAGGCAATAGACGAGTACATGCATGCATGTTGTGTGGCTGCTGCTACCCTATAGATTCACAGCCAGATTTGGGCTGTTTCTGAAATTCTGATGAAATAAAATTTGTTATTTACGGAAAGATTAGCAAGGGCAATATCTCAATCTGTCGTGTTCTATTTAGGCAGTTTTTGTACATGTGATTATGTTTGTCTGTGTTCCCAAATTTACATTATTTATTTATTGTTGCATAGAGAAAAGGCCAAAGGAGAAGAGAGCTTCATGTGGTGGATGTTTTATGACATAGATGCATTCAACACTTGAGTGATATGACTTTGCACTTACAACTTACAACAAGGGGCCCTGGAAAACTGATAATTGTGCCAATTGCCGAAGATAAGCAATCACTGGACCCTCTAAACCACGTAAACTTTTTTAAGTGCACGTACATTTTTAAATTAGTGCAGAACACATATAATAGGAGTGTTTAAAATCCAATATAATATGCTTCGATTCAATCCAACTTTAATCGATTTGAATGATTTGAGTATATTTAGCTTTACATAGGACTAAAATGGCTATACAACAAGCTACTTGTTCAATCATTTTTGTACCATTGAATTAGTGGTTATACTTTTCTCCCCCACAAAAGAATAATAGTGGTCACTGGTTATACATGCAAATGATGTGAAAACTTAGCTACCTGCTTAGTGTTGTTATACAACGCGCTTTTCTTGTTATCAACTCTTTCTGTCACACTCAATCAAGGGACAGAGTCACAGAACACATAAATTATGTGAAAAAGCATCAATTTTATATTGTATTTCCACAACTTTGGTCAATTACTGGCTCATTATTTCTTGGAGTGTCCATTTGATTATATTATAAGATCTGATTATGTTATATATTAAGAGTTGCCGACGCACAAGTGACTGTTAAAGTGACTGTCATCTATTTGATTGATCATCAACAGTAGTGTGTGAACGACTATCGATAGCATTTCACAGTTAGATTTGCTTAGATATGTAGTCCTGAACTGTGTTGGAACAGCAATACTTGTATGCATATATTCTGCAGTTGCTAGCTTTTTGGTGTCTCTGGAAATGGCAACCACAAGTAGCTAGTCGACTCATGAAGAGGATATCACTTAGAAAGACAAAGACGCATCTTTGTGGCTATACTTTCTTTTGTCACATTTTACAAAGGTTAAAAAAAGGAGAATAAAATTGCATAGAAGCGAAAAAGATTTTATTTCTATTGCCACATAACTCTTTGTCCCTTCTTTTGTATGATTCGTTGGAGCTTCTGCTTCTGCTTCTCCTTCTTGTTGCAAGTGTGACAAACGGAGGTCACCACTTTTCTTTTCTAACAAAATATAAATATATACACACAAATACACCCAACACCAAAAATATATATATATATATATAATTTTGGGTTTGTTTTTTCCCCTAAGCATAGACAGCAGAAAGAAATCACGATACTTGTGACTGAGACCAGTTGAAGTTTGACATTTTTGCTGCAAAATGATGTCCTTTGGAGGCCATTTTGTCAATGCACTCTAGAATATTAATTCTTGACCTATAATATCAATTTTGATTTTGTCAATGCACCCCCCCAATTTTCTTAGAAACCAGATTCCTAAAAGGTCCACCAGGAGATGTCTGATGAGATGGCATATATGGGGCGAAAAAAAAACCAATCTTTTAGTGGAAAATGAAGGAAGGCTATAGCTCAAGTCTGTTGCCGACGATATATATCATATGGCACTCACAGTCACTTTTCTACTTCAAGTTGTTGAAAGCAATCAAGTTTCTGAGGGACTGGTGGTTTTTGGCGCTAAACTAATAGGCTGCTGCTCATATTCATATATATATATATACGCACACGCACGACAGTGTGTTTCAAACCCACCACCACACCACCAGTATCATGCTGTCGAGTTGCCTTTAATCACTTGACCTTGATTGCCACCTCCTTTACTGTACTACCCACCTAATGGAAGATTTAAATAAACACATTATTAGAATCGTGGCAAGCTATTAATTAATCAAGAGGTAAACCCCCTTAACTTCTTAATTAATGAATTTGTTTTCAATTTTTTATTGAACAATCAAAGTATTGTCTCCCCCACAACCACAACCACTCACTCACAAACGGGTCAAGTTCTACTTTTTCCCACATTCAAGAGGAGAAGAGGAGAAGTGCAGAGAATTCATCTACCAATTGAGATTTTAAAACTACATGGTGTATATGTTTACCAATAAAATTTTCAGGGTGTAAATTGAGATTTTTTATTATACTCGTTGATCCTGCATTATTGTAGAGCAAACGCTCATGAATCAATACAATTTGTCTCTTTGTGATGCTTTGCTTGTTCATCAGTAATTAAGTCTAAAGTATGTAGAAGGCACTGCTCAACTTGTTCTTGTCCATTAAAATCTATTCCAAGGACACCATATATATTCTCTACTGTAAAATCTTGTCTTGGTCCACTCCTTCTATCAACAAAACAACACACGCGATGGTCATAGCATTTATTTTCCCACTTCATGTTCATTATCAAAAATATTCCTCTCCTTGCATGCCCTTCAAAAATAATATCTTCAAAACCATCTCACTGAGTTGACAGCATGCGGTGATATATCTGTCACCAAATTAGACCCTACAGACAGAGTACTACAGATGGTGACTGTTAATTAAGGCCACCATCTGGTCAGCTATTTCCATGACAAGTCTCTGCATGTTGTACATTCGGCAAATCCTTGTGACATGCAATGCAAGCCCCTAAAATCCATTTTTCCCTCTTGCCTTAATTAGTCTCCGTCCGTTGTTCATCTGGCAAATTCTAGTGACATGCAAGCGACCTAGGTACTTTGCCTCTGCATGTTGTTCCATCTGTCTGGCAAGCTCTAGCGGCATGCAAATCACTATGGCTTGCCAGGTCGCAATGGCATGCAACCCCACCACCCCCCACAAGAAATTTCCAAGTGACATGCAATGCAAGCCCCTAATTCCTTAGCCTCTGTGTCTGTCTTTTTTTCCTCTGCATTTGTTTGTCATTTCCTAAATCCAAACGTCGGATTTGCAGCCACGGCCATTATTATAGCCCCTGCTGATTGCAAAACCTCTGCATGACCTTTAAATTTTTGTGTCAGAATAACTTTACTATTAATCAAATTTGAAGTGACCAAGTTAAACTTGGGGAATTGGTTAGCTCTCTCCTAGGCACTGAGAATGGTTGGTCCAATTATGTAACTTAACACATCGAAACATAATTTACTATATATAGCATACACTCACAAATCATTTAGAAAAGTATTTTTTCTGATTGAAAATAGTACACACGGTATTATTTGCTGGCCTAGTAATGGCACTAAAACCTTTGTACAATTTAGTGGGTGACATTAGCATTTTGCCTCCACAGAAGGAAATGCCAAAACACCATCGGGAAACGCTTTCTGGAAACAACAATAAAGACAATAAACTTTCTTGAAGAGGGTTCCAATTCCCAATTTTGCCTATTGTCAGGCCCCTCACCCTGCAATTTTCCCCTTTTAAAAGTCCTTTCCTGCAAACAATATAATGTGAAGGAAGAGAGGGCTTAGCTATAAGATTCCAATTTTTGTTCACTCATCCACCCAATAACCGGCCTTGGCTTTTCTCTCATCACACTTCTCAAACTTATTTCACTCCCTCCTTCTCCCTGTATATCAGTCAGCCTCAGAACCAATTCATCCCATTCTCTCTATCTGTTAAGTTAATGCAATGGCAATTGAGTGCATGATCACAACAAGAAGAAGCACGCAATCCATGGCTCAACCCCCCTCCCTAAAAACAGAGCACAAACAAGATGACCAAAAACCATTAGTTTTTGATGCCTCAGTGCTCAGGTACCAGACCGAAATACCAGAACAGTTCATATGGCCTGATGAGGAAAAGCCCTGCGCCAACACCCCTGAGCTCCAAGTCCCTCTTATAGACTTGGGTGGTTTTCTCTCTGGCAACAAACAAGCTGCAACGAAAGCCTCCACAATTGTAGGCGAGGCCTGCCAAAAGCATGGCTTTTTCCTTGTTGTGAATCATGGTGTTGACAATCAACTCATAGCCGATGCTCATCGCTACATGGATGATTTTTTCGGGTTCCCTCTGTCTGAAAAACAGAGAGCGCAGAGGCTACTAGGGGAGCACTGTGGCTATGCCAGCAGCTTCACTAGTAGATTCTCGTCAAAACTTCCATGGAAGGAGACTCTTTCTTTTCGCTACTCTGCAGACAAAAGCTCATCCAGTATCGTCCAAGATTATCTCTGCAGTAAAATGGGAGAAGAGTTCAAGGAATTCGGGTAGGCACAATGTTACTTTAATTTCCCATTAATTGATTCATTTCCTTAATTGGTTCTTACCATAATATGATGTTCTTCTGGTTTTGTTCAGGAGGGTGTACCAAGATTACAGTGAGGCTATGAGCACTCTTTCTATTGGGATCATGGAGCTTCTGGGATTGAGCCTTGGAGTTGACAGAGCACATTTCAAGGAATTTTTCGAAGACAATGATTCGATAATGAGGCTGAATTACTACCCACCGTGCCAGAAACCTGATCAAACTTTAGGCACCGGTCCTCATTGCGATCCAACATCTTTAACTATTCTCCACCAAGACCAAGTTGGAGGGCTTGAGGTGTTTGTGGATGATAAATGGCATTCCATTAGCCCAAATTTGAATGCCTTTGTTGTTAACATTGGTGACACTTTCACGGTGTGCATCAGCAGCATTTGAAATCGTTCTTCTTTTTTCGGCGACTTTATTAAAAAAATTGTTGCTGATTAATTTTGTTGCTGCTTAATTTATAGGCTCTTTCAAACGGGAGGTACAAGAGCTGCTTGCACAGGGCAGTGGTGAACAGCCAAACACCAAGGAAGTCTCTTGCATTCTTCTTGTGTCCCAGAGATGATAAGGTGGTGAAGCCACCAAATGGGCTGGTTGATGATACTTCGTGCCCAAGAATATATCCAGATTTCACATGGCCTATGCTGCTGGAGTTCACACAAAAGCATTACAGAGCAGACATGAAGACTCTCCAAGTCTTCTCAAACTGGCTTCAACAGAAAAGCAGCTGAATTTTTACCAAAAGGGTATGGGGTATGGGGTCTTCTTCCTGCCAAAACTATGAGAAAATGACATCATTGAAGGAGATGAACAGAGGCGGTAGGCCTGAGAGTTTTGCTAAGAGTTGAAAACTTGAAACGAGTTAGGACAAAGGCAAAGTTAGAGGAAAAGCCAGTAGTTTTTTTTTTTTTTTTTTTTTTTTTCCCGTTGGGTCTTGTAATTAGCTAGCTAGTTTTCTTAGTGACCAACCAAAAAGCCAGACAAAAAAAAGTGACATAAGGAACCAATAAACTAAGAGCTGGTTTCACTCCAGTTTTTTTGTACTCTTTTATTTTTATAATGTAGAAGAAAGGTTATAACTTATATATATATATGTAGCTTTACCTCTCTCTCTCTCTCTCTCTCTCTCTCTCTCTCTCTCTCTCTCTCTCCTCTAGCTTACTAGCTAGCTACTGGCTACTGGCTACTAGCTACAACTACAATGTACATGGTGCCATAATTAATTAAGCAGCTTAATTTATTTATTTAATCATAATCAGTTATCAACCGTGAATTAACAGTTTAATTAAATTGTGACTCAAGTGGTTAAGAACAAGGAGAACATAATAATTAATGAGTTTGCAAACGATTGATTTGATCATGACCGTCCATCACTAAATCCAATAGCCAGTGGGTCGCACTATAACCAATAAGCAATACATGGGTTGGGTTAAAAGATAGAGAAAAATCCAATGGAAAAGATGGCCCACCCTAATGGATGATTCAGAGTAATAGGATGCTAGAATCCATGGAGGATTGACAGAGCTTTCCTTGTAGTGTATTCATCTGCGCGAAAAACTTTAATTAAATGCATTTTTTCTTGGATTTATTCGTAATTTTTTTTTAATACCTGGAGATTTGGAGGCTTGTGTGGCAATGTATATATTTATAAAAGAAAGCAAAGGAATATTAGCTAAAATTGTCTTGGTGTTTGTCTTTAAATGCTGCAACATTCTTCCGATGATATTATAAACATATTACAACATTAATTTTGAACATGAGAGATAGGGGTGGCATACGTCTGTCCCCACATGACATGAAGCTCGCGTTCATCACTTAATTATTATTTAAGACAAGTTTTGTTACTAACAAGGTTGAAAAATACTATGCCTAGTCAAAGTAACAAAGGTTCTAACTTGTAACCCCGACTGATTGCCTTAGCGTAGCGGGGCCGATATTTTAGTACGTGACAAGGAACAAGTAGCTAAGGTTATATGAGAAGGAATTGATGCGATTTTCTTTAGGAAACAAAAATGAAGATGAAAATGAAAATGAAAATGAAATGAAAGGGAGGAAAGGCAAGAGGCACAGCCGCCACAGGTAAGGACAATGACAGTCCCATTCCCGTACTCGCTTCCAAAAGGCCCGCATCACGTGGAAACCATCTGTAGTTTGTTCTGGCACCACACTACACTTTTCTCTCTCTCTCTCTCTCTCTTCCATTTTCTTTCTGAATTTCTAATCCAACTCTCCAACACAAACATTTTGTGCACAACACACAACTATTCTCTGATCCATTAAACGACAACTCTTCGGATCTCTCTCATGGATACCCACCTGCCCTTGGGCCCCTTTCTCCCCTATCTATCTGTACCTTTCTTTGTCTTGTTCCACTTTCTCACTTAACCCCCTAATCCCTTTCTTAATTGCTCCTTAAACGCACTCTGTCTGTCTTCAGCTAATTACTCGAATAAAATATGGACTCAAACGACGAGTCGCAGAAGGAAGCCAATACGTTTCATGCAGACCCCTGCTGCTCTGGCGTACGTCCGGCCCCTGAATGAGAGAAGAAGCTCCTCGACACCATGACCCTGACTTGGAGAAATAATGAGCATCACTCACTCACTCACTCACTCACTCACTCACTCGCTCGAATGCATTTGATTAGGGAACGTGAAGCATGTTTTCTCTTTTCTCTTTTTTCAAATTGGAAAGGGAAACATTCTTGTTTTTACTGCAAATTTCAACAAGTAAATCACAAAAGAGAAATTTGAGGGGGCACATATAATAAAAAAAACAGTCCCATGACCGAAAAGGAAGAGAAACAACACAAGAAAACAAAGCTTACTTTTTATATATAAATCAAATCGAAATGGCTCGTGGAGGTTTAATCATCATATAAGTTTAGCTCCTCCGTCTCTATCTAACAGAGCTTTAGGTCTGCCCGGCTCATTTTTTTATAAATCTGTCTTGTGTCATTTTCTTCATGTACGACAAGGAACATTTAATCATTTTAACTCCTAAGTAAAAATAACAATGTATTTATATATATAGACGAATAGGAATAGGAATAGGAACAGGAACAGGAACAGGAAACTCACTTGATTAATTGATCACAATCACAAGATGATAATATTGAATATCAGATTGCCAGACGAGCTCGCTCGCTCCCAAGTTCCTTCCTAACCCAATCTTAATCTTGTTCAACTTTGCTTTTCAGTTTTGAGAATGAACCCACATGGCGACAAAGAGCATGATCTATCAGATCAACTGATATTTTCCATGACGATATTCACAATTACGTGCCAGGATGTCCAACAAAGACAACGCTTTAATCAATAACACACAATCCTATTTCTTCCACGTCTTTGTCTTTTCCTCCAGCAATATATACTGCGATTGTGTGATACATACAATTACAATGAAAAGAGCAATGCATGCAGTGATCGATGTCTGATATCTGATGTCTGATATCTGGTGATGTTTCATATCTGATATCTGATATCGATTGGGATATAAATATATATATATATATATATATATATGGGAAAACGACGAAGCCCAAGCCCTCATACATACGCAACGCACCCCTCAGATTTCTTATCTTCTCTTTTCTACATATATCTACATCTACTTGTACATGCTGAAAGTGATTACATTAACATATACGGCACTTACACATGCATGCATATGTTATACATGTACCTTGTACATATATATATATATATATACACGAGGACCAGCCATTGCTCTTTTGTATTTTTCTTTTTCCTCTTTTATTAAACTAAACTAATAATGACGTCCTAGCTTACACAACAATCACATATGTTTCTGAAAAAATGCATGTGATCAAAAATCAAAAATTATATAATAGTTGGTTTTGGTGCGTAAATGGTAGGAGGAGATTTCGCCACGTACCTATCTCACAAAATTGAAAATTAGGGTTTGGTAATTTTGTTACGTGATCCAGTTTTGTTTGTTTTTTTAATTTGTTTGTATTTCTTGTCACATGATAGGATTTGAGTGCATAAAAACGACTCAAGTCCATATCTACACGTCGATACATGTACAGAATACAGATACCGTCATATAAGAAAACGAAGCTTTCAGCTCCTTATTAACTTATCATATGTGGTTGGAACTCGGAGTCGGAGTCGGACTCGACTCACGTCATTATTTTGTTTTCAACAACTTTTGTACTTTTACAATTAGTATTAGTGCCACAATGCTACGTACCTTGTCATGTTACAATGACATGTGGATTATATTATTACATCCAGTTGTCATCATTTGAATAGGTTTTGTCTGCATCTTTAGGCTGCCTATAAACTCTAGACTCTTAATGTCACGTATCCCATTCCTTAATTTTTTTGTTGTCTTTGGTCTTTTCTTTTTCCTCTTTCTTTATTAACAATATAATTAACATCCCTTAATTCAATTTAAATACTTCATTATGTTAAGTTTAATTTTGGGCTTCCTTTCATTCATTTCCTATATTATTAGCCTTTTTTTTATGTTTCAGATGAAGCGTGGCCATTAAATATATATGTATATATATTGGTCCACCATTTGTTACATGTATGCCCAGTGGCGGCGTGGGCAAACGGCGGCCTTGCCCCCCTTTCTCCCAGCCAAAATTTCGAAAACCCCTCTCCATTTGCTTGCCTGCCGGCTTTATCTTCACGCCATCTATACCTCTGGCCCCTCTCCCACAATACCAACTAAACGACAAGTCAAACAATTTCTTCTCAATTTTATTCATATATAACATCCACAACTTAATTATTCCATTTAGTACGTACAATGTTTCTTATTATACATTTCAGTTAACAATTTCTATTTTCGAGTGCGTTATATGTTTTTTTCTTCTTCTTATAATGTGATCATCTAAACTGCCATAATATAATTTAAGAAAGTGAGATTCGAACCCAAAACGAGTACACTTTTCTAACCAAACGACATAACCCACGTTCGTTAGAATATATATTGCTAATTATTAAAAATTTATACTTATTCCTTTTGGATTATGCGTTGAATAACTAGCCAGTCCAGCCTTGAGGGCCGATACTAAAAGGATTGGTGTTATGGGGTTACGGCCAACAGCAAAAAAACTGTTGGGTTTATGATATGTGACCAGTGGAAGTTGCCCCCCAAATCTCTAGAGCATGATTCTGGTGCCCCACTCCTATCGTACGTGATAATATTACGTTTTGTTCTCTCTTCGAATATGGTTGACCAATGACCAATGACCACAATGAATTAGATTTCGGTATATTTGGCTACTTCACAACCAAGCGTTTAAAGCCCATCAGATGTAGCCTCTGTTGGTTTCAATTTGTGTGGTTTCAGGTTACTTTGGGAATTGGGAATGAGTGGTAACCCTTTTTTTGGAATATTTGGAAATTTGAAAACTATGTAACACACAAATATTCATTGGATGTCTTGAATTTCGAATATCTATTCATATGAATGAATATATATTTTTTTAATATTCATTAAATGTCTGGAATTTCGAATATCTATCCATATGAATGGATACATTTTTTAAATATAATTGATAATCTAAATTAGTCTAAATTATAGAGAAAATAATTGAACTCGAAAGAGTACTCACAAACGAGAACACAGAACTAAATAAAGTCTACAAGTGCTTTTCATTTATCTTTTGTTGTATTACTTTTATATGATTTTGCCGTCCACTGAATATCTGAGGTTCACATACAAATGGACAGTCTACAAAGGAGCCATATCTTAAATGTTCGCAGGTACAAATTGTGGAGGTACTGGACTCGAACTAACTGAAAGTTCTAGTGCTATTTTTGACGTTTTCAAGGATTCTTATAGCTGGGCCAACCCAACCAAGATTCTCATGGAAGGCCGATCACATATCTAAAACTTTTCTAAATTATGGATTGCGTGAGTAGCCCAACGTTTTCAGACTTGCATGGTAACATTCTCATGAAATATTTTTATGGTACTAGTTTATTGAAAATTTGAACCCTTAGTTTAGCAAGGACTTGTAACTTTCGATAAGTGATTAAGAATATTTATCCATGTATCTGAGGTATGGATGTGCATCAAACATATATCGATAACATTCAGGTTCATTTTATTGACATACGTTATAGATGGCATTCTTACAAGTTCTTACATCATTGAAAAGATATTTTGATGGTTTATTTTGCAACATTCAGAAGTAAAAAGCAAGCAACCACCATTTTCTACTTCTACCTAGCCGATTGAGAAAATATGAAATTCTTAACAACCACAAACAGTGCCTTGCCCTTGGAGGCGTCAAAAATATCAATCCCATGGTAACCTCCTTCAGCAAAATGGCACACCACGTGTACACCATTTTCCTCCAACATCTTCGCCACCTCAATCTGACGGTCGATCAATGGGTCCCCATCCCAGCCAGTCACCAAAACTCTCCACCCAACCGCCATTCGATCCAACTTCTTACAACCGTCCCTTACCGTCGGATTGCAATACTCGTGGTCACGACTAGCCCCAGTAGGCAACGACAAGTCCCACATCAGATCCGAACAGCTCAGTGGGAACGCGTGGTTGTTCGCTAACCTCAACTCGGAGCCAGTCCTCTGGGTCCCACTGAAAAAGGGTTGCTGCAATATCAGCCCATGGATCTTCAACGGATGGAGACGGTCAACGTCGGCATGAAGTGCTGCGTGGTAGGCTATGTTACCCCCCGCGCTGATGCCCATGAGGAAAGTATTTGAAAGGTCAGCATGGTCTCTCAACCAATCATCTGGGGTGGTTTTGATCCAGTGCAGCGCTTCCGTTGCATCCTCATAGGCCGCTGGTAGGCGATGCTCTGGAGCGAGCCTGTACTCGACGGATGCGATGATGACGGGAACATCAGTGGCAAAGCCGACGCAGTAATCGTGGAATATGGTTGAGGCTGCACTTAATAAAATGAAGCCTCCACCATGGTAAAAAACGACGAGAGGTAACTTGGAGGAGGAGGAATGATCCAGTGCGTGGCGGGGCAAATAGATTCGAACCCAGGTCTTTTTTGATTCGTTGATGGGGATGTCTTTGGAGAGAACTGGGGTGGGAAGCTTGGGATCGGACGTGGGTGGGCTTTCTGGGAATTTGGCCAAGCGGGTGATGTTGCCGTCAGGGTTGGGTGCAATCTGGAGGCGCTGATAGTTATCAACGGTGGAGATGTCTTCTGCTTCACCTTCGCCTGCACCTGACATTGTTTAGTTTTGTTAATTATCAGAGAAGATGATTAATATGGACCGGTAACGATGCAGTAGTGATTAAATTATATAGTGGCTACCAAACCCTTGACTTAGAGTAGTGACTAATTTATAGAGAAAACATCCAAAAAAAATTAAATTTTTTTCAAATTCTTTTTCACTCGCTGACATCAGCGCTTTCGGGCTGGTGGGACCCAGGGATTGCCTGGGTTGCTTGGCGCACGCTGGAGGTCCAAAAACCTGCAAAGGGGCCTCGTGCCCTGACAAAAGGGCCTGTGCTGGAGGTGGCCTTAGGTGTTTATTGTCTTTTTTCTCAAGAATCAAATTCGATTCTCTCCCTCTCTCTCTCTCTCTTATTTTCCATCTCCTAACAACCAAGTGGTTAATTAACAATTTCTAATATTTCATAATAATTTTTTAGTTGAATCAGAAAACCCAATGTGAAATTTTATTTAGTTTAATAAAAAACATGGGAAAAAGAAATAGAGGAGGTTGGCTAGTGGTGAGAGCGAAAGTTGTTGCCGCTGCGATGGGGAGGGGTAGCTTATAGGTTTATCATTTTTTCTTTATTTTTTTGTTCAATTTTTATAAGACCTAGCAGGGTTAAATTGAGGTTTTGTTCAATTTATCGCAGTGCTGAATGGGAAGGTGGTGGTTGAGGCTTCGTCGGTGGGGGGTGACCCTTAGGCTGAAAAAACCTTTCCACCAATGCATTCTAGTCCAGGTAGGATGTGGGCTCCACCAAAACTAGACAGGTTTGAAGGCATGATTAGCCCGAGCTGCTGCTTGAGGGCGTTGATGTCAAAGAAGAAAAAAATTGGAAAAAAAAAAGGAAAATTTACCAAAAAATTCATAACTTACACTTAGCAATTTTTTATTTATTAATCTCATACATATAAATAAAATTAACCCCATGTAAATAGTAACTATATAGTAAAAACCCTAAACGTGAAATATTGATGGTACATATTGGAAAGTTTGCAATAGTTGGGTTGGGGCAATGAAGGTAAAATGGAGACACATTGGCCCCACAGGGCAGAGCAACTAGGTTTTCCATTTGCGGAAATGTATGTACCCATGGTTCTCCCACTAGAGAAACACTTGCACTCATTCTGTAGCATTCTTGTTTCGTTAAGTATTTGGTATTATATGAAGCTCTGAAAGGTATCCTTTTGTGAAATTCCACCTCATATGTGATAATCATAATCATTTTATAATTGTGATATAAAATTGGATTGGAACGTAGCATTATTCACTGATTCAGCTCTCACCACTCAACAATTAATTATAAATTTTCTAATCATTACAGATAATTATAATTCATATATGAAGTTTCTCAAGACGATAAACAAGGCTGGGGCTTTGGACGGGTCAGATACCTCCAAACCATGAAAACCATTGTCAAAATGGGTCATTGTCTGTACACCTTTCCCCTCTAACATCTTCCCCAACCCCATCTGACGGTCAATCAACGGGTCCCCGAAACAACCCGCAACCAATACCCGACAACCCATTACCCGAATCGCAACGCAACGCTCGAATTCTTTACTACCGGCCGGATTGCAATACTCATGGTCACGGTCTGCGCCCAGAGGCAACACCCATTTCCACGCGGCATCACAGACGCGAGGTGGCAAAATGGGGTCATCCTCCATCACCATCTCCGACCCGGTCCTCTCGGACCCACCAAAGAACGGATGGTGCAATATCAGCCCTTTGATTTTCAGAGGGTCAAGATGATCACTCACTTCACAAGCGCGAAGCCCAGCATGGTAAGCCAGGTTCCCACCGGCACTCGTACCCATTAAGAAACAATTGGAAAGATCAGCGAATTTTACGATCCACTCTTCTTTGGTGGTTTTAATCCAGTGCAACGCATCCACGGCGTCGGCATAAGCCGCAGGGAGACGATGTTCGGGTGCGAGGCGGTACTCTAGGGAGACGATGAGGACTTGGAGTTGGAGAGCCATGGTAGAACAGAATTCGTGGAAGATGGATGACGTGGCACTGAAGAAAATAAAGGCGCCACCGTGGTAGTAAAAAATGAGAGGGATTCTAGGGGCGGGTAAATCGAGGACCTCACGGGGGAGGAATAGTCGCACCATGGTTTCGGTTTTCGGATTTACCGAGATATCTTTGGAGAGGACCCGAGTGCATGGAGGGGATGGGTCGGGCTGGGCCGGTACAATTGGAAGTGTTATGAGACGGGTGTATGTGCCGTCTGGGTTGGGAATCAACTTGGACATGGTTCAACATAAAATCTTTTACTTGTAGATTGGGTTTCTTCTTCTTCTTCGTCGTCTTATAGGAGTCACCCAACAACATGGGTACTTTTTAAAATTCTTTTTCGGTGGTTTGATTTAAATTAATTGGATCCTAATATTATTTATTGAGATGATGATGTATCCTTGAAAATTAAGTTCCGGAAATTGCTTATCAGGTCCATACAAATCCACAATATACAATGACGACTGTCTACCACATAATTTATACAAACGTCAATTTCCTATCATTGTCATGTCGGTACTCTACAACTAATTAATATAAGATGACAAGGGTAATTCAGTAATTTCACATCCATTTTTATGTTATCCTGTGCCTACCACATGTATATGAATTTAATATAAAATTGGTTAAAAGTCTTTGAGGAACTTCCTTCGGCGCGAAAGAGCTTATGTGGGCCTCGCTATTTATAGTTGAGGTTTGTTGGGTCTGGGCTTACAGATGGACCTGGACAGAGGTGGATTCTCGTTTGCCACGTTATTACTTAACAGAAAATTAAATCGTCGAATTAATTGAATGTGTAAATTGATCTAATTTTAAAATGTTACTGCGTAAATTGGCAAAAAAACTCCATGACTGATTTAAAAATGACCCCAAATCTTCTGGGTTGGCTCAATTTACGTAAGCGTTGTAAAATATTTTAATGGACATACTCTTCTCATTTTTCATAAAAATTAGAAGTAAATTGTACATCACGTTACAATCTTATAAAACTAAACATCACGTTACAACTTGAAGTCTTGAACGAAAGATAATTATTTATTAGAGCTGGAATATAAAACTTTTAAAAACCACAAACAATTCATGTGCCTTGGAGAGCTCAACATCCTCAACTCCATGACAACCTCCCTGGATAAAACGACCCACCACTTGCACACCCTTTTCCCCTAGCATCTTCACCAACGCAATCTGACGGTCCATCAGTGGGTCCCCATCACAGCCAGTTACCAAAACTCTCCATCCAAGCGCCTTTATTTCATCCAAGTGCTTGGAACCGCCACTCACCGTTGGATTGCAATACTCATGATCACGGTCAAACCCAGGAGGCAATGACAAGTCCCACATCAGGTCACAACAACTTAGCGGCAAAACGGGGTCGTTGGCCATCCGTAACTCGGAGCCACTTCTCTGGGTCCCACCAAAGAATGGTTGCTGCAATATTAGCCCTCTGATCTGTAAGGGGTTGAGATGGTTAACGCCCACAACTGCACGGAGTCCTGCGTGGTAGGCTATGTTACCCCCAGCGCTGGATCCCATGAGGAAACAATTTGACAGATCAGCATAGTCTGTCAACCAGTCGTCTTGCGCGGTTTTGATCCAGTGCAACGCTTCCATTGCATCGTCATAAGCCGCCGGGAGCCGATGGTCCGGAGCCAGCCTATACTCGACGGATGCAATGACCACGGGCACGTCAATAGCAAGATTCACACAAAAATCATGGAAGATGGTTGAGCCTGCACTGAGTATTATGAAGCCTCCACCATGGAAAAATACCACGAGAGGTAGCTTGGTAGTGGGTGTGGCTGTGGGCGAGGGGGATTGATCCAGTACATGGCGGGGTAGGAACAATCGAACCCAGGTGTTGTTTGATTGGTTGATGGGGATGTCTTTAGAGAGGACTGGGGTGGGAAGGTTGGAGTCACAAGTGGGTGGACTGTTTGGATATTCCGCCAAGCGTGTGATGGTGCCGTCCGGATTGGGCGCAATCTGGAGGTGATGGTAAGGATCAACGGAGGGATTGGAATCGGACGCTGCCATTTGATCGGCCATTGTAATTTTTGTTAATGGAGGGAGCACACAGAGCTCAAGTCCCTGTGCTTATGTGGGCCTGGTTATTTATAGGTGAGGTTTGTTGGGTCTGGGCTTACAGATGGAGCGAGGTGGTTTGTTACACTTTGAACAAGCCTTAATTATTATATGAAGGCTTCTGTTTAAATCAATATTATTTAAAGCTGCGTGTCATTGTCAGACACAATCTTGGAGCTGTGTACGGTTTATGCGACTCAAAAAGGGCGTAATTGGCTGATAAAATTAAGTTGCAAAAAGGTCAGAAACCACAGGAACTATAAGGTGAAATGTTGATTGGAAAGTTTGGAATAGTTGGGTTTATATTTTGGGGCAATGAAGCGAAAATGGAGACACATTGGCCCCACAGAGCAGAGCAATTAGGTTTTGGAGAATGTTAGAGAGAATGTTGTATTTATACTGTTGTTGTGTTTGGATGATAGCTAGGGTTTGGATCATTTGGTAAACGAGTAGCTTAGAAATGATACACAACAACAACGCTAACTTTCATGCTTTCCATTACTTATCAACCTTAAAGATGCTAGGGTTTTTTTTGTTTTTTGTTTTTCCCAATGGTAAAAGGGTTAGGCTTGTGTCCCTATTCATAATCTAAACTTGGAAATCTTTGCGGGAGAATTATTGATGTGTTTATGCGAAATTAAATACAAATTAAAAAAATAGAGAAATTAGAGATTCTGCAATGTTCTAGGTTAAAGATTTTAAGATAAGAGGAGGATATATATTGTGCATGCCATGTCCAAACAAAACAATGCCTTATCCTATATAAAATCCTATACCAATACCAAGCCCACTTCCCAGACCTACGTACCAGTCAACACTGGAAATAAACCCACTGCTACCTCTGGAATGATACCCATCAGTTTTCAGTCTTCCCAACTGCATTTCCTCACCTTTGATTTGATGGAACTAACCGTAGGAGCTGCCTCTGCACCCAGCAGAGCAGGTGCAACAGCCGCCATTTCACCTCCCCAACACACCCGAAAACCCAACCATTTTCTTCATTTTAAGGTCTCAAATTTAAAAACCAACCAAAAACCCTCCACATACAAAAGTATAAGAACTTTAACAAACCCCAATTCATTAATCATAATAATAAATACATAATAACAATAATGTGTTAGAGAGAGAAAGAGAGAGAGGGTCACATCAGAGCCCCACCAGCTGTGGCTGACTGCAGAGAAGACTGCAGCTGCAGCAGGTGGTGGTAACAATCGGCTGCGGTCGGCCTCTGCTCGGGGTTTTGATCCAAACACCGATTTTGAAGCTCCCTCAGCATCTTCGGCACGCCTGTCAACCCACAGCTCCTCACCAAATACCCCACTCCCCACACGTCCACTTTCACCCCATGCAACCCTCTCTCCATCTCCGGTGCGTGCCTCACACGCGCCGCCGACTCCCCCGCCGCCACCGCTCGTCGAGGATATATCTGCGGAGCCCCCACCGCCTCCTCAAACCCGCAAACAAACCACTCGTTCTCCCTTTCCGTTCTCCTCATCACTTTCTCCCAGCTTATGTCCCTGTGCATGAATGACAAGTCGTGCAGTGCCACTAAAGCTTTGGTCACGTACTTGAGCGCCTCCACAAGTTGCTCACAGTTTGTAGGCTTGCACTTGTACCCTCTTGGCTTGAACACCAAACCCAAATCTTTTTCCAACGACCTGTGGATAAATTCTGCATGGGGTATTCTGTGGTCAAGAAAATCGTAGATTTCTTTGACCGCGGTCCATTTTCGAACGTTGGAGAAAAACCGAGTCACCGTAGTTGGTGTCATTTCGACTATGTTTCTTCCATTGCCCAAGTCAAGTCTCTCGAAATCACTATGGGGAAGCAATTTGTTGCAATTGGTGTTGTTGAAGCACCGATCGGCTAGCAATGGCAATAACCCGGCAATTCGATAACATGGGACTAGGGCTTTGAGTCTCTCTGAGGGTGAGGACAGATCAATGGTGGCTAAATCAGTACGATTTATTCGATCTTGAGATCGGCTTAATGCACAAAATGTCACCACATAACCAATTGCATAGTAGCCGAATATGTAAGGAAGGTCCATGTAGGTCCATAAGATTTTCTCAACGATTGAGCTAGATGGGTTCATGTCATGGCTGTCTCTTAGTTGATCGGTTTCTTCTCCTCTCCATAAACAAAAATTTCGAACAAACCCCGTCACGTTCGGCCATTGATCTTGTAAGGGTTCGGTTGGTGATGAAGCGTTGGGCCTGCGGATGAAGACCATTTCGAGTGAACAAAATTTGGAGACGAGCCTATTGATGCAGTCGTCCCAAATGGGAATGAAAGAGTCTCTACTTGTGCCAGTGGATGCACTGAGACTGGGGTTTGTTCGGATGATGGGGCTAAGGATGTCGTATGTGATGGCTCTACAGTCTAGCAATTCGGTTGAGGTGGTGAAGAAGATTTCTTTTCCTTGTGGTAAGTCGCGGTAGACGTCTTTTCGGAGTGGGAAGCGGAGTTCCTCCGGCGGCGGCTCTTGTAAGTACCATTGGAGCTCGGGTAAGCTCGGAAGCGATGGCGGCGGGGCGCCAAGACATCCCACGTAGTACTCAGTTGGGTCTTGAAATTCGGTTGAAGGAATAGCTGCAACAAAGCACATGCATATATGGCATGGTGATAATAATAGTAACATTAACCAAACCAGTGCGCAATATAAAAGTTGAACATCAAATAAAATGATCAAACTAATTCAATTTGGTTTTAGGACTTACATCTTGAAGAGGATTCTGGTAAGGAAAGCTGGACTTTTTCATTGAAGCCTAATTGGCATTAAATAAAAATGAAGTGTTATATGTGGAATTAAGCAAAGAATTTTTTGACATGGGAATATCAAATTAAGAGATGCTGTCAATTTTACCAGAAGTAGATGATGAAGGCTTTCTTCTGCCAAAGACTTTGACTTGTTGTCCAGACACAAACCGATCAACGGAAAAGCCTCTAAGAGGTCCATCTTCAAAGGCTTCCATGGTGCAAGCAACCATGGAATCATCAAAGAAAGTGAGCTCGT